TTCACCAACATGATTTTCGCATTTTTTTCGTGTCACACAGAACGATTTTAAAAGCAATGTATTTCTATTGGTAGTATGTTTCGTGCCTGCACCACGTCTTTTTGTCCGGTCGGGTCTTGGAATACCGGAAGCTGTTTGGTTCATAAAAACATGTTCTTACTCAATATCTTACCCTAAGCCTAACCCTTTTATTATAAATAGTATAATGTCTGAGTTATTTTGCCCTCCGTGAGGAAAATAAATGGGGCGAAGAGCCTCAGAATACTGAAATCTGTATTTTTCGTCATCTTTTTTTCCTTCTAATTTGTTATTATTTGGTGCAGACACGAAACATACTACCAATATAAATACATTGCTTCTAAAATCGTTCTGTGTCAGAATACTGAAATCTGTATTTTTTTAAATCTCTTTTTCCTTCTAATTTGTTATTATTTACATTGCTTTTATGGGGAAATCGTGTTGGTGAACACGAATCTATAGGTTCATTTCGTGACTATAACACGAAATGCCGTGAGACTGTGTTGTATATTTAGCTTAATGATAATGTTTCTTATCAATGACTGGATAAACCATATCTAACCGAGCTGCTTTAGATTTGAACCTAATCGGATTGGAGTTGGACACACCAGGTTTAATGACCAATTAAAAAAGGTAGCTAGCGTTAGCAATGCTAGTGCTAAGATTAATGTGTTTGCTGACGTGCCCTTAATACAAAAATACTATCATGAATTACTATTTAAGTTCTTTCTTTGCCATTCAAAATTGTAATTTGAAAGCCCAATAGAGTGACCGTAGTTAGCTAATCTTAACATGATAAGATCACGTTGTAATCATAATACTATATTGTTGTGCTCATATTACTGTTAGTTTGCTAACGACATTGGCTGTTTTTTCAAAATACCAATTGTATATACCTTGATGTTAGTGGTTAAGGTTGTGGATCATGCACCTGATACAATGGACCTGATAGTTATTGATAGTCAAGTGCAATAAACATAGATGGATCCTAGCGTCAGAGGAGCTCTGCAGTTTGATTGCTTTGCCCTGCCTAAAGTGCCCTGAGCATTTTAAATAAAAATTTCTGCTGAGTTGACTTCCTAATCTTTGTACAAATATTGGTACATCTTGGTGACAAAATCTACAGTTGGTATTCAATAAATGCCTGCATAGTCAGATCTGAGTGCTTCTACCATAAAGATCCTGCTTTTCTTTTTTTCTGCCCCCTTGCCCCCTTGCCCCATCCTCCCGTCTGACTCTAATGTCTTTTCAGTGTGTGTGCTCATGTGTGCAGAGGGCCTCCACTTCTGTAGCCTGTCCAGGCCAGGCACAATGGAGCCTGATTCCCCAGCTCCCCTGTCCCCCGATGGCCTAAAGAAGTCCCCCAGCAGGACCACCTTAGTGTCCAATGAGTAAGTCTGAAACGTAATTTCCTTTTTCTTGTAATACTCAATTAACTTAAGTGTTATTATAACAACTAGCATGACTCATTGGTCCATTTTCCTCTTTTTTCGTGGCATGGGCCATTTTTCCTACCGTTAGAATTAGATAAGATCTCAATCTGCATTCATATCCACAGGGAGAGTAGATAATAATAGGAAGGTGTTATTGCAGGAAATATGAGATAAGCCTTATAAAGCAACAATTGAAATTCCTATAGGCAGCATTTTCCTCCATGATAATGGATTGCCCAAACATCTCTGTTACGCATGCTTGCCCTGCACCATGGGGACGTTGGATAAATGAAAGGATGGACACAACTCACTGACTTTGTTTGAAGTCAGATTTCTCACCACCCACACAATTACTGTTAAACCATTATTTGGTTATGCACGTTATTTTCCCTTTGCAAGATTTAAAGCACGTTTGAACTGAGTCCTTGTAACTTCTAGAAGAGTTAACACAAGCCATTACAACTTTTGTTCGCTCTCACAACATAAGGGACCATTGGAATCCTTCTCATATTTTTAGCTAGCTAACCATTTGTGATGTTGGTCGTTAGTCCTCCACTTTTGTCCAAATGTTAATATTTAAACGGAGAGTGCATCATGTAGTCAACATGTATAGTAAAGAGCAATGTCTCAAACAACCATATTGTCATGAAAGACTGTAGTCACGTTCTGTAAAGGATACACCTTTATTCCAGAATCATCTTTAAGTAAAATTCTTAGACGGTTTATGATCTGACACCTTTCGAAACGTATTCTTTGAAAACATTCCCATCAGCTTCAGCTGTACTTTATATTTCAAGCTGACCAGCAAATATTGTATTCTAACACGCTAAACCTAGATGTTGAACATAGTAGACCTAGTCTTAAATAACACCGGCTTAGCATTAGCATGCTAGCATTGTGTTGCGAAAGTATTGCATTTCGCTTGAAGAACGGAGAAAGGATCCACTTGTTTTGCTGCTGAGCGTTGATGGTAATGCAATGTAGTTGCAATGTTCCCAGCCTGATTATCACATAGGACCCCACAAGTGTATTTTTAGCACTGAGAAGTCACAGACATAGACAATGAGGGACAGAGAGAGAGAAGAATGGAGACATGACAGATGGATTTCTTTTCACTATAGTTTGGCAGGATGCCCTCTGTATGAGAAGCTGTCAAATAATTTGGAATGATAAAAACAGCAATGCTGACAGCATGGAATACATATGCTAAACGTTTTTTCTGACTTCTACGTGGGCTATCGAGAAACACAAATATATTAAAAGGTTGAGAGACAAAAGAAGGCAGAGAGGCAGTAAACCCAACTAACCCTGGGGTCCAGTGGAAGCAGCCTCATCTCCATGCTCTTCAGCCACTGTCTCAGAGCTGTGATTTGACCCCTGAACTCGCACTGCCATTGACTCAAGTCCTCCACTTCTCTTCTAAAGCAGAAAAGATAAATACACCAAGTAAGATCATATTCAATTACATATCTCAAACATCTGTTAAACATGCACTAAAAGGATGATTCAGGTCACCTTACTATCAATTTGACATAGAGACACATTGGTAATATGTTCTCCTTTTATGGTATCTCTTTAATGTTGTTGTGCCGTCACAAGGTTTTGGTTGTTTTTTGTCATCATATAAAGAGCTGAATACATTTCTACAAAGTTCATTTGTGTAATGACTTTAAGACTCCGAGTGCAATGCCTGCCTACATTTTGAATGTTTTAATGATTGGCAGAAGGCCGCACATTGGGAACGTATACCACAAAAAGCTCAATTGTGACCTGGACTGAAGCAGAAAGAGCTACAAGGCCTTACACATTTATTATTCTTAACAAAAGATAATACAACCCAGGTTTAGAAAAACATATCTCATTAGGGAGGCATATGCGCTCTTTCTGTCTGTTGGACTAGAACCTAATTTTTCCCGTTTCATTATGTTTCCTCACTTCACAATTAAAAGCTCTGCCTTTGTGCCGTTGGCAGACACACCGGTCTACATAGCTGATACAATTGAACAACTGTCGACACAGGCCATTTGTTTTCTTTTGAACCTGACTGTTGGTAGCCACTTCAAATCAAGCTGGTTCTTATTTGGATCACAGCATTTGATCCAAATAAAGTTCAATTTCAAAGGAACTAGCATAAGTTCTTATATTGGACACAATCTGAAACTCATTAAACATTTCTCAACGAGTTGGGTATTTACTTGTACTGATTTACTTCTACGGATCCTTGAATGTGTCAGATAATCAAAGGCACAGGTTGGTTTTCGAAGAATAAAGGACATTTGTATACCCATATCTCTGATCCTGTGAGGTAGGCGATGATGATTCAAATAAAGCACTTCCTTTATCCTGCAAAAGATCATTGGAAAAACAAAACAACACAATAATCGTTCCGATCTTAAGTTGTGATCACTTTTACAGCATTGGACTGATGACACAGGTGTTTGAACATTATTTTCTGCATTTGTACCTCCCTGTCTCCAGCGTCTGATGTGGGGAGAGCCGGGAGGGAAAGGGTCAGATCGGAGTAGTCAAGGGAGCTGAGTGAAGAATTCTGGGAGGTCAATACACCGTTTCTTCTGTTGGCAGGGTCCTCCATCAAATCCAGCAGCTAATGAGGCACATAGAGCAACATATGTACACATCTGGTGTGAAGGAATGGGGATGTATATCCACATGCATACCAGTAATGTCCAATGGAGAGGTGAATTCAAAATGGTTAAATGGTGATTCAGGATATTTTAAATCCTAAACAGAATCTTTTTCCAGGGAATATTTTTATTTTATGGGCAGCTAAAACCGGTATTATGTAGGTCAGGCCATCATTGATATGTCAAATCATTATAGCAGACATGGAACTCGGGGGATCATTACATTATCTGTTGTAGATCAGGTCTTGGACTAATAAGTCAATGCTTAACCTGATTCGCTCTCTTTCTTGGGGATGATTGTAGGCTAACACCGGCCTCTTGTGGCTAACTACTGCTTTCTCCAGATACAAAATGCATACTAAGCCACTAGGTTGACTTGGAATTATTTTAACAACAGAGAGATCAATACAACAGCACCTTTGTAGGATTTTGATCAAATTACATTGACTTTCTGTTCAGTGGTATGGAAGATAAATACTGAACAATATTATTGCATTTTCACCCTTGTAATACATACATCCTTTTGGTAAAAAAGCTGTCATATGTTGTGTTTTAACATGGAGGGATAAACCAGATATTATGTGCATTTTCTCATTGTAGTTTTCTACTTTAGCATTAAGGGCTGTCAAAATAGTTCTCAATAAAGATTCTATCGTGATGTTTTTTTTGTAGTAAGTTTAGTGAAATTGATCATTAACACATTTTTGCATCTTTTTAAAATATATTTGCGCTCAAAAGTTTAGGAAGGTGAAGAGAGACGGTACTAACATGAGATCAATATTTCATTTTCTGATAACAATTATTGTCAATATGTTACTTCAGCCAGCAGCACCACAAATTATATTCTGCTCTTAATACAAATGGCTTCAGATGCATGGGTATTGGTGCATGAATGACAAGATGGTCTCTTTAGAGCATATTTATTTACAACATAGTGTTAATGTTCAGAACTTACAACAGAATCCACTCACCACATCATTCAAAGCAAAATATACCCCATAAGCATAAACAAACCAGTTCAATTGTTAAAGCGATATACTGCTCAGTCAGTTACATCTGCAGTTCTCGTTATTTTACATCAACATTTCTTTGCCAAAAATCCTTTGTGAGGTTATTAAAACATGCAAGGCAAATTCAAGATATATCAAAAAACGTTTTGAAAACAAAATGTAAAGATTTACAAAGGTAAAACATTTCAGAGATACATAACAGAAATGCAGAAAAGTAACTTGGCAAAATTAAGCTTTAAGCCCTTTGTTTAGTTTGCAAAGGACATCTAAGGCAGAATGTCAACTGAAATAAGAACATTTAATTGAATACATTCATTCATGCAATGTGATGCTGTATCAACCATGTCAATTCTCCAAATATATCCTTGTAGCACTTTGGTAGGGTTGAATTTACAGAGAGATAATACAAAAATATACCAAGAAGAAATAAAATTCAAATGAAAGTAAAATAATAAACATGCAGATGTGTTTATGATTTGGGAGTGTTCTCTAAAACATCAGGATATGACAACACATATATAACTATTAGTAATCAAGTAATAAATATATGAAAAATGAAGGTGTTCCAAGAAAGTTATCCCAAGATGGTGTCAGGTTGCCTCAGCTTTCTTCAAATGTGATGTGCAATAGAGAAGAATGGACATACTCAATGGCAGATCTAGAATTTAAAAGAAAAAAAAACTATGATATAAAATAAACCGTATCATGCAGCGAGAAAACAATATAACTTAAATACATTTGCAAAACACATTTTGATTGAATGCAGCAACATCTTTTGCAAATGAGATGATATTAAAACAAAATGTTGTACCTGTGTGACTGCGTGAGGACGTGGACTCACAAATCCATCCAAGTTGATGGGATTGGATGCTTCGGCCAAATGAGTATCTGTGCTCGTACGATAGATTCTGAGGGACTGAGGCAGCTGTCGAAAACAAAATGAAAACAAAACATCAGTCAGAAGTAATCACATTTTTCACACAAAATAGTTCACTAATTATATGAAAATATAGCATGAAGGGTGGGTAAAATAGCACCAATGAATGGGATAATCTAGGCTCTGAAATGTAATCGAACAAACAACACCAACAAAAAGGAAAAACAAAATCAACTTACAAGGACAAAAAATAACAGGATGCAGGTCTGTGTGGCAGAGCAGGATCAACTCTGACATCATCTCGGGATTAACCAGGAACACTTGACTGATGGTACATATAAAGAATCTAAAACTTGGAGTGTTTAAAACAATGGTGTAATGAACCCCAAGGTTACACAATTCTACAAAATATAAGAGCATAATTACAAAATAATTGTGAAACTTTTTCTGAATGGTCTGCAATTTGTCTAATTCTGGAATTAGGGTTTATTTAGTGTTGTGTCTTATTTTGTATTGTCTAACATAACAGGTGTATTCTTACTGGGTATATTCTTACACTACCCAGGTGACATTAAACATAAAACCATAACCATACAAACATTCAGAAATGTGCAGGCATCTATGATTTCTTAGAATCTGTTTAAAACATTAGAACTAAGTTGACAAGCAGTATGTCATTAAGTAGGACTGCCGAAAAAGATACAAAATGGACATATCCTTGATTGTCAAAGTAAAACTGGAAGAATATCTCTTTGACATACATAAAGTATATAATAGTTTCAGAAAGCACTAGTACACAACTTTTTGTAAAAGTGTGTAAAAATGAAAACTATAAGGTCACTTAAAAACCTGAAACCTAAAAAATATAAACTGACTTGGTAATTGGTACTAGAGAAAAATAATATTTATATCTAATAATTTCTCAATATATGAGGCACATGTTTAGGTATCTGTGGTATACGAAAAAATTAATAGCCTTGGAAATTCTTGTTGTGACCACATGTTGGGCAGAATAAATAAACTATATTTTTTCTTTGTTACTGTGACTATGTTTTCCTCTTTAAATGCAACTGTAAAGTGCATAAGTACGGGTGGATCTTGGGATATTGTTAGGAACAGAACTAGATAATCAGAATCTGCGGCTGTAGCCAGTTGAGGAGGATGAGAAGGAAGAAGATGAGAAGTTCAGGCTGAGGCCAGTGCCAGCATCGATGCTTCCCCTCCTGGAGCCTGTTCGTGATCCGGTCCTTGAGCCAGTTCGGGAGCCATAAGCAGATCCAGGGCCACTGGCATTGTAGGGACTGTAGAGGCCTTTGCTGGATTGTGAGGAGGCCTCCAGAAGTCTTAGGCTAGTTCCTTCCTCAACCATACTCTTGTCCATTGCATCTTTGAAGGATATTTTCAGTTTGGTTTTTGGACATGTTAGATATTTAGAATAGGTACCCACATCTCTCAGTTTCTGGGCAGTGCGGGCATCGATTGAGCCCTTCTTGAGTGATTCATCTAGTGATACTCTGCCCTCGACATCAGGCTCAATAAGTCCACCAGTAAGATATTGGACTTCGAGGAAGCGCTGGCCAGCCTCATAATACAACCAGCCTTTCTTCAGAGCCTGGGAGGCAGACATCTTTACTTTAGTTCTGGGGTCTTCAAATCCATTGAATGCTTTTTGAGCCAGATTGAGGCGATCAACCATGATTTTATCCACAAGGCCTTTTTCTTCAGCATCGGTGACTGATAATCTCTCTCCAGTTGTTGGATCAATTATTCCTCCTGTGCATGCTTGGGCCTCCAACAATCTTTGGCCAGAAATGTTGTCTACCAGGCTTCTGTGTATGGCCTCAGTGATAGACACCTTCTCCAGTGTGTCTATGTCCAATATGCCAGCTACGGGACCAGTCTCCTCTGCTGGGTCATTCCATATGATTGCAGGTGTTTTAATTGAGGGTATGGGGCTCATGGGAGAGGAGTAGGTGGATCCAGCGGTGGAACCAAAGGAAGATGAGCGTGAACGAGTGCCTCCAATGTTTCCAGAAAGCATTTCAGCAAATTCTGTAATGGACAGGTTTCCAGAACGGTATGTTTCAAGGGCATTCTTGTCAATGAGGCCACGTGAAAGAGCCTCCTCAACATCATACTGTCTCCCCGACCTCCTGTCAATGATAATGGATTTGACAGTACCATCAGAGGCGGTCAATGTGAGCTCTTCCCATTCACACTCCTGCTCAGCAAGCTCCAGGTAGGTTTGGTGGTCAATGAGTCCCTTCCTGTAGGCCTCATACACAGTCATTTCTTTGCCTGTTTCAGGGTCTACAATGACAACTCTGCGCTTACGAACTGAAGATTTGGAAGAGGCCTTACTTTCCCGCTTCTTTTCTTTTAATTGCAGAAGCAACAGGCCAGTGTGGGGATCAGTGACGCACCTCTCCATGAGCTGGAGGTAGGTTAGATTTTCCTCAGTGTTAGGATCAAAGAAACCTTTAGTGTCATCAGATGGATCTGTCAAGATCTCATTCATTTCCTCATCGAAGAAACCACGTTTGTAAGCCACCTCAACTGGCAGACGGTGACTTTTCTCTGGGTCAATTATTCCACCAGTGGCAATCTGGGCTTCCAGTAGACGGATACCGTGATCTTGCAAAATGAGCCCCTTTTGCATGGCCTGGAACAGGGAGATTGTCTTACCCGAATAAGGATCTCTATATCCTGTCACTGCACGTTCAGCAGAGAGGAGTTTGTCTTTGAATTCAGGTCCTACAATCCCCATCCGCACTGCTTCAAGGACAGTCAGTTTGAGGTTTTTGATTGGGTCAATGACATATCCTGTGGCTGCCTGTGCCTCAAGGAGTTCAAATGCTGTGCCTGGCCTAATCAGGTTCTTCTTCATGGCCTGGTAAACTGATAGACGTTCCTTTGAGGACTCCAACAATACACCCGCAATACAGCTTGTGCCCACAAGGTACCTCGATAGTCTTGAGCTAACTTCTTCTATTGTAATACGACCTTCATTCAGTGCAGTGACTGTCTCCTGGTCAATTATTTCAGAGCGGATCAGCTCCTCAATTGTAATCTGTTCTCTTATACCACTCATCATCAGCCTCTTGTCTCCCAGAGAAAGTAGGCGCAACCCACCATCCAACTTGCATCTCTTGAGCAGCTGAGCATATGACAATTTCTCCTCAGTGACAGGGTCAACAAATCCTTTAACACTGTCAGTCAGTCTCTCGTTGGTTTCTTTGTTGATATAACCCCTTTGCATGGCAATGTCTGCTGGCAGGTGGAACTGGAATTCAGGATCAATAATACCACCAGTGGCAGTTTGTGCCTCGAGCATTTTCATAGCATAATCCTCTGGAACAAGATCCTTTTTCATGGCCTGGAAAAGAGAAATGATTTTCCCACTGTACGGATCTTTGTATCCTGTGACTGCTCTCTCAGCCGACAAAAGTTTATCATGTAATTCAGGGCCAACAACACCCTTGCGAACAGCTTCATCCACTGTAAGTGTTTCATTATTAACTGGATCGACAATGAATCCTGTTGCAGCTTGTGCTTCTAGGAGGCTGACGGCTAGTTCTGGTTCAAGGAATTCTCTCTTCATTGCTTGGTACACACTTATCTTGGAGCTTGATTCTGTTGTGACACCAGCAACACAGCCGGTGCCATACAGATACTGTTTGACATGTGTCAACTCCATTATGTCATGGATGTCCCTCTTGCCCTGTTTCAGTAGGTTGTATGTCTCCAAGTCAATGATGCGGGCATTGTAGAGCTCTTCCATTGTTATTCTTCGCCTTATTGTCTTACAAGACAGTGGACTATCATGTATGATGATCTCTCTCTGCTCCATGATTTCAATGATAATGATGATCATCCGCTCTTTAGTGATTTCACCAGAGCGATATTTATCCATGAGCTTCTGCTTTTCCTCCTCTGGAAGCAGATTTGAGTTCAAGATTTCCCAGAGGTTCATTGGTTTATCAGCAAGGCCCTCAATTGGAATGTCAATCTGTGCGGTGGTCAGGTCACTCTGTGTTTGTTCCTCTGTGTAGAGGTATGTCTTCTCAACAACAGTAGGAGACTGAGGCTTGGAGAGTGGTAGGATGTTAAGGCCTGTCTCTGGATCTTTGTGGCACTTCTCTTTAAGCTGTCTGTAGGTGGCATTCTCATTGGTTTCTGGGTCTGTGAAAGCCTTGTTTTCTTCAGAAGGTTCAGATAAAGTCTTTTCAATTTCTTTGCTGAAAATGTTCTTCTGATATGCAACATCAGTTGGGACACGGTGGCTGTTTACAGGGTCAATGATTCCTCCACTAACCATCTGTGCCTCTATCAGTGGCATGGAATGCTCTTTCGGGATGAGACCTTTTTGCAACGCTTCAAAGAGTGAGATTTTGTTGCCTGTGTATGGATCTTTATAGCCAGTAACAGCCTTTTCTGCAGAGAGAAGTTTTTCATGCAACTCTGGACCAACGAGACCAGACTTTACTGCCTCATCTACAGTCAGGAACTGATTCCTTACGGGATCTACAAGGAATCCAGTGGCAGCCTGGGCCTCAAGAAGAGAAATACCTGTGTTTTGTCTGAGTAGCTTTTTCTTCATAGCCTGATAAATGCTTATTTTCTCCTTGGTTGGCTCAAGGTAGATTCCAGCGATGCTATCAGAGCCCTGGAGGTATTTATTGACATTGGGATTTTCACTGACTTGTTTAGGTGTGGTTTTGCCTTGTTGAAGGAGGTCAAAGGTTGCTTTGTCAATGATTTTAGAATCATACAGAGAGCTAGCTTGGACTGGAGCTCTGAGTCCCTTGAAGCTGGACTGTTCTTGTTTCTTGGACTCTCTCTCGTCTACGATTGTAATGACAATCTTGAATATCTTCTCGATTGTAAGCTTTCCTGACCTAAATTGTCTGAGCAGGTCAAACCTTTGTTCCTCTGTGAGATATTCAGAGTGGATGATTTCCCAAATGGTCATCCTCCTGCCCTTAAATGGTCCAGAGTCAAGCTCCACAGTTGCCTGAGTCATAGCCTCCTTTGTCTGGGCATCAGTGCATGTCGACTCATCCTTTGCATTGATTGCTTCGTCAGAAAGAGGCAGAAGCTGGAAACCAGTTTTCTTGTCAGTGACACATCTCTTGAAGAGCTGTGAGTATGTGACATTTTCTTTTTGGTTGGGGTCAAAGAAGCACTTTGTTTCATCAGTAGGGCTGTTAAGAATCTGTTTCATTTCATCATCAAAATAATTTCTCTTGCAGGCTACATCATGAGGAATGTGATGGCTCTTTACTGGATCAATTATGCCACCGGTGGTCATCTGGGCATCGAGCAGTCGGATTCCTTGTTCTTTAGGAATTAGATCTTTTTTCATTGCCTGGAACAAAGATATAGTCTTGCCAGTATAAGGATCTTTGTAACCTGTAACAGCACGCTCAGCAGACAGAAGTTTTTCGTGCAGCTCCGGACCAACAACACCAGCTTTGACAGCTTCATCCACAGTGTACTTCTGATTATTCACAGGGTCAACTACATAGCCTGTTCCCGCTTGGGCTTCAAGCATTATCAAGGCAGGCCCTGCCCTCATCATGTCTTTCTTCATAGCTTGATAGAAGGACATTGTCTCCTTTGATGAGTCAATAACTACACCTGCAATGCAGTTTGTACCCTTCAGTGCTTTATGGACGGGCTCCATTTCCGACACCTCTTTGACTGTTTTATTGCCCTTGTGCAACTTGTTGTAGAGGTCTTTATCAATGATTTTGGATTCCAGGAGATCAGTTGCAGGAACAGGTGCTCTCAGACCATCAAAGTTAATCTCATTCTTCTTCTCTTTTTCCTCTGCCACAGTAATCACAATCTTTATAATTTTTTCGATTGTGATTTTGCCTGTCTTGTACTGACGGAGAAGGTCCTTCCTCTGATCCTCAGTGAAGTATTCAGAATTGATAATTTCCCAAATGGTGATAGTCTTCCCCTTGAATCGACCAAATGGCATGGACACAGTTGTTTTGCTGAACATATCCTTGGTCTCCTCCTCTGTGTATATACTCGAGCATTGAGCAGCTTTGTCTGTGATTGGCAGGAGTAGCACACCGGTGTCAGGGTCAGTCGTGCATCTCGTCATCAGCTCAGAATATGTCAAGGGTTCCTGAGTGCTGGGGTCAAAGTATCCCTTTGTGTCATCTGAAGGATTTACCATAATCTTGTTCATTTCATCATCATATTGTCCCTGTGTGTAGGCTGTTTGATTGGGTACACGGTGACTATTTATAGGGTCGACGATGCCACCGGTTGCAAGCTGAGCCTCAAGGACCCTGATGGCATGATCATGTTCCAGCAAACCCTTCTTCATAGCTTCAAAGACAGAGATCTTACCACCGGTGTATGGATCTTTGTAGCCAACAACTGCCCTTTCAGCAGAAAGCATTTTGTTGTGCAGTTCAGGGCCAATCAACCCTTCCTTGACAGCCTCATTGACAGAAAGTTTCTTGTTCTTAATAGGGTCTAACATGTAGCCTGTGGCTGCTTGGGCTTCAAGAAGGATCATCGCTGTGCCTGGAGTAATCTTCTTCTCTTGTGATGCTTGATAGATGGACATTTTTTGTTTAGATGGTGTCAGAACTCCAGCAATGCAGTCCTTTCCTTTAAGAATTAGTTTGAGTTTTTGAGTCTCACCAAGCTGTTGCACAGTGGCTTTGCCTTTTTTGAGCTTGTCAAACTCCTTCTTGGATAAAAGGCCGACATCATGAAGTCGGCTTGCAGGTACCTTATCACGGATGCCGTCAAAAGACAGAGGATCTGGTTTCTTCTCCACACTGTCTACTAAATCACCTACATTTTGACCATTGTAAACATTATTCGTTGTCTCAACTGTTGTTGCACTGATGACTTGAGTGTTTTTGTCTTTCTGTGCTTCCTCAAGCTGCTGCAGCTGGTCGCGCAATTTCTTGTTCTCTTCTGCAAGAACTTTTTCCTGCTCTAGTCTCTTCTTCTCCAGTTCCTGCATTTCTTTTTGCTTGTTGAGCATTTCTCTTTCAGCCTCTTTTTGTTTACTGAGGGCCTCATCCATGGTAGCATGGAGCTTCTTCTTCTCCTCCTCCATCAGTTTCCTCTGGCGTTCCTGTTCATCTTTAAGAGCTTTGGCCTTTTTGGCTTCTTCTTCATACTGGCTCTCCAGCCTCTTTTTCTCATCTTCAATAAGCCTCTCTTTCTTCAAAAGCATCTCCTTTTCTGTCAGGAACGTCTGCTGGAGCATTGTCTTCTCGTGTTCGATTTGTTTCATCTGTGCATCAGCCATCTGATCAAATAAAAAGTAGAAAACACAAGTTACAACAGGTATATAGGTGAGACAAATATTCTGAAATATTCTTTACTTGCATTTTTTTATTTTGTGTAGGTAATTTGTAATGGATACCATTGTACAATGCACTCTGCTTATGCATATTGACATCCAAATAATTCCTAAGGGATGTTAAATGTGCAATTGTTTTTTAATGTAAATACATCTATGAGAATGACTTTTTCTAACTAACAAACCAAAAATAAAGGGTCACAATCTATTTTTTAAGAGCCTTTGGATTGAATGGCCAGCTTATAATAATATATATTAAAAAGTCTGCATGGACACCATTTGAAAATGATAAAACCATGATCCAGTTAATTTGCTACTACTTGAAGAAAATAGGAGTTCAAAATATGATTCCACTATTTGTGTGTTGGTGGCTTTGCTTATCAAGTAGGTCACACTGACTGAAACACCTAAATGCAGTGCATATCAAAAATAAAATGCAACTTATTTTTGATTTGGTTGAAACTATTATTTAAACAATTTGTGATGTATTCTTGTCTTTGAATTTTACTTGGTGATTATCACTACGTACCAACCTGTTTTGCAAAGGATACATTTTTTCGTCCATTTATTTGAATAGGAAGGCTAATAATAAATGAAGGTCTAGAACTATGTTAGCAGTGATATCTAACTCAAGCAATCACAAATTGGAATAACATAAAATAACCTATCGCAACAACAAGTGTGTCCCGTGCAATTTTTTGTGTCATCTTGAAAGAGCTACTGTTGTGTTGTTGACCGCTTGCAGGGTATTTCTATCATTGATTTTTTCTATATGTGGACTGTTTTTTTTCCAAATGCTGTGTATGTGTTGGCAAAAGAGTGAATATGTTTGTCTAATTTGCTTGTGTTTTGTCCACATGGCCACTTTCAAACTGAAATATGATGGACTAGATTCCAATAATTCTATAGTTGTAGTATTAAAATATAAAAAAAGGAAAACTTCTGTGAACTGACAAATAACGATATAAAGATATGTTGTTTAATTTTGGTAACAATACATCGCTGTATATCTTGATTTTCTGTTTGGCTGGATCTCAACCTTTGGAATGTATTTTATTTGATTGATTGTATGCGTTTTATAATTTAATACATTTACTGTAGGTGAACACTTCTAATGGGTGTGTTTGGGTTTTAATTCAATTAGTTCTAGTACATATGTGGGTGTGTCTTTCAATGCAATGCTAGCTTTAAAATCAATCAAGCTTCGGTTGAATTTCTTTACTAAATTGTTAACGGAATATCATCATTTTAGTCTTTTCAGTCTGACTTCAAATGTTCTCATTTATTTTGGAATTGGGTTTGCAACTGGTTTTCAAAACTGAAAGTAATAATATGGAACATGTCTCAAAATGAGGAAACATGCCGGGATATGAGGGGACATTCAGGATGTGATTTGCATGAGCACAGTGCACTGTAAAAAAGTGAAAATCATATTTATAATCAAAGGTTTCATGATTAGTATGATCGGAGAAAGGTATAGAGGAAATTTGAAGAAAGAAGTTTGTTAGTTTTAAGAGTTAACAATGACATAAGCTGCTCTGTTATGCCATTTTTGACACAATACCTCTTTAGACTTATTTTGAAGTTCTTCTGCGTCCTTTTTCAGTCTAGCCTTCTCCGTCTCTAGGTTTGCGATTGCGTTACGTAAATCGTCAGCCTCTTTGCTGGTATTACGTCTCTCGACTTCCAGTTGTTGCACTACGGTAATTTTGTCTTTGGTGGCAATCTCAGTCTCAAGAAGACGGGCAGCAATGTTATCAGCTTGTTTCTTGAATTTCTTAGCCTCCTCCTCAGCTTTGGCCTGAGCTACGCTGAGCTGAGAAACCTGAAGTTTGAGTTTTTCGGCCTCCGCTACGATCTCCAGTTGCCGCTTCCTCTCTGCCTCAAGGGACTTCTGGTATTCCTCTGTTTCCTCATCCAGGCGCTTTTGCATGAGTTCCTTATCCTCCAGCAGCCTTTGTGCCTGCTCCTGAGCCAAGTCCTTTTGTCTTTGGAGCAGCTCGGCCTCAGCTTTAAGTCTAGAGGCCTCCTGTATGGCCTGCATTTTCTCTTTGAGCATTTTCTCTGCAAGAGCTCGTTGCTGAACAAGGTCCTCCTCTGCAATCTGTCTCAAGCGAGAAGCCTCTTGGGATTCTAAGCTTAGTATAGCAGCATCCTTTGCGAGCCTTTTCATATTTTCAGCCTCCTCTGCAAGTAATTGCTGTGCCTTATCTTTGTCTTTCTTGATGAGGAGTTGATTTTCCTTCTCTATCTTGAGTTTCACTTTGAGTAGCTCCTCCATCTGAACCTTGACTTTGAACAGCTCCTCCTCGACCTGGCCCCTTTGTTTGACTGCATCATCGACCTCATCCTTCAAACGCTGCAGCTCGTCATCCAGGAGATCTTTCTGTTTGTCAGTATCGTCCAGCTTGAGTTTAACCTTTGTGAGCTCTTGCTCCACTTGGAACTTCTGTTTCAGTGTTTGCTCTGCAAGTTTTTTGTGCTTTGCCATTTCGGCATCGGCTTTCTTCTTCTGCTCGAGTGCTGCATTTTCAGCTTGTGCGCGTTTTGCAGCTTCAAATTCAGCCTCTTTTCTTAACCTCTCTGCATCCTCTTGAGCTTTGGCTTGGATTGCAGCTTCTTTCTCAGCAGCTGCCTTCTGAGATTCTGCTTCCTCTGCTTGTTTGCGGAGGAGGACTGCCTCCTTTTCTGCCTTCTCCTTAGCAGCCTTTGCCTCTTTGGCAAGTTTCTTGGCTTTTTCGTACTCTTGCTGGAGCTTCTTATGCATCATGCTATCCTCCTTCTGTTGGGCAAGGACACTTTGGACTTGTTGTTCAGCTGTACTGCATTTCAGTGCTGCTTGTGAGGCAGCAACAATCTGTTTTTCAGCTTCAGAGTCGGCCTCGTCTTTCTGCTTTCTGGCTTCTTCGGCCTTCTTCTTCAGACGATCAAGCTCATCTTGGGCGATTTTGCGTTGTCGGCCAGCCTCTTTCTCTGCGGCAGTGATCTTCTTAACCGTTTCCTCCGCTTCCCTCCGCCTCCTCTCCTCCTCCATGGCAAGCTTCCTTTGTTTCTCTGCCTCCTCCTCTGCTCTTAGTTTGCTTTGTTGAGTTTCCTCTGCAATGTTCTTCAGTTTATTGAGTTCTAGTTCCAGATCAAGTTTTCCAGACGAAGCCTTCTCAAAGTTGAGCTTGAGAATTCGGATTTCTTCTTCGACAACGCGTCTCTGTTTCAGTGTGTCATCCACCATTGCCTTTTGCCTTTCCATTTCAGCCTGAGATGATTTTTTGAGTTGGACGATCTTTTCCTCGATCTCTTTCTTGTGCTGGTTGGCCTCGTCTTCAAGAGCTTTCCTCTGGTAAGCCTCATCTTCAGCTGCCCGCCGGAGTCTCTCATTTTCTGCCTCTTTTTCTTTCAAGGCAATTTCAGCTTCTGTCTTTAAACGAGTGGCCTCGCTGATCGCAGCCAGTTTCTCTTTGAGAATCCTCTCAGCCTCTGCTCTCTGACGGGCTGCCTCTTCCTCAGCAATTTGCCTCTGATACTTGGCTTCCTCTGCGATGGCTCTTAGCTTGCCTGCTTCCTCAGCCACGTCCCTCATCTTGGAGGCTTCAGCATCAAGGAGCATCTTGCTCTTCTCCGTGTTGGACATGGTCTCTTTTTCGGCCTTGGACTTTAGCTGAATGAGAATTTCCATTTCGCTCCTCATTTTGGCAAGTTCATCCTCCAGCTGTTTTCTTTGCTGTTGCGCTGCAATGACTTCATTCTTCAGGCGGTAAAGTTCATCTTCAAGGAGCGATCTCTGCTGTTCCGCGTTGTCAAATTCGGCCCTAAGGCGAATCAGTTCCTGTTCGGCAGTGAGTTTCTGCTGAGCTGTGCTGTCAGCAACCTTCCTCTGCCTCTCAAGTTCTTTCTCTGCCATCTCTTTTTGCTTAAGCGCAGACTCTTCAGCTTTGGCTCTCTTTTTTGCCTCACGTTCAGCCTCCTCCTTTTGTTTCTCAGCCTCTTCCTGAGCGAGGCTCTTTTTGTGAGCCTCTTCCTCAGCCTGCAGCCTTAGACGGAGGGCCTCGTTAGCTTTTTGTCTCCATTTATCAAGCTCTTTTTCTGCCTCTTCTCTGGCTTTTAACGCATCTTCCTGTTGTTTCTTGAGATGTGCCGCTTCTTGTTGCAGCTGCAGGACAGTGCCATGCTCTTGTTTGAGCGATTCTTCCAGCTTCGAGGTCTTTTCGACAAAGGATCTTTGCGTGCTCTGGAGTTCTGCTGTGGCGCTCTTCTCGGCTGCCACGTGAGCAATCTGGATTTGTTTCTCCTTTTCAATCTGGGCTTGCTTCACTTTCCTTTCAGCCTCTTCCGCCTGCATCTTGAGGTTTTCAAGGTCTTCCAGAGCTTTTTGCTTTTGCTTAGCAGCTTCTTTCTCTGCTTCAGATTTGCGTTTGAGTTCTTCCTCTGCTGTGCGCTTTTTCTGGGTCTCTTCAATGACTTGTTTGTGGAGCTTTTCAGCTTCTTCCTGAGCAAGCTTTCTGAGTCTCTCAGCTTCGGCTGCTTTTTCACGAAGCTGCTTGAGCTCAGTTTCCGCAGTAGACTTTTGATTTAATGTTGTCTCCAGTTGGATCCTGATAATGTAGATTTCCTCCTCGATCTTGGTCCTGCTTTGAAGAGCATCATCCACAAGTTGACTTTTGTCGTTGATCTGCTGCTCTGAGAGATTTTTGAGCTCATGAAGTTCCAGCTCAATGTTTTTCTTTTGGTTTTCTGCATCTAAGGCAGCAACCTCTCTCTTGCTAACCTCTTGCTTCATCTGGTACTTCAGCTCATCAGCTTCTTTCTCAGCTTTGGCAATGGCCTTTGCGTGAGCTTCGGCTAACTTCTTCTGTTTGTCTAACTCGGCCTGCAGATCGGCCATTTTTTTCTGCTCTTCCGCTTTGAGTATCTTTGCAGCTTTCTGCATTAGTGGAAGCAAATGGTAAAGAAAGGATTACAATCAAGCATGACATGTTATAAGGTAGCACTTTACATTAACTAGCTCAAAACAGTGTGGATTCAAATTGTGATTACTACAGTAATCACAGCCTAATCACACTGGAATATGAGCAACTTAATGTACTGTTTACCCTGGCAATGTTAATGTTAATGTTAGCTCAAACATCAAGTCAAAGATCAATCAAGAGTCAAATTAGATGCACATTCATCAAAGTAATGTTAAATTCACGATGCGATCAAAATAATTCATAACAAAACAATTCGGGAAAAAGATGGATGATGAGAATGAATCAATGAATGTATGGAAACAAAATATCACTTCACAACACAGCAAGAAAATCATATGGCATGCAACTGTAGCTGTAGCACTAACTTAAGAAAACTGCCTCATTGTTATTCAAATAAAATATTATGTCTACAATTTACCTCTAATGTAAAGAATTAAATATTGTTTTATTTATTTAAATATTTAGCAATTAAGAGTCTCAAATAGAGTTATTTTTACGTGTGTACACACATGTATTATATGATCACTACCAAATAATTATATATTTAATTTAAATGTTCATTTAATTTAATTAAAGTAGATTTATGGAAATAGTTGTTGTCAAAAACCTTTTTTTAATAACGAATAAATGCTTAATTTTATAATATATTTCAGATCAGGCTAGTTTCTGTCTCATCTCATGCACTGGGGGTTCTTTAAATCACTTTTACCATGAAAATGAATGGAAAAGAAAGGTTAGGACAACAGGCTCAGGTGTCACTTTAAAGAGGAAACCAGAGTTGAAAGAAGCACTGTAACGTGTGTTAAAAAGAATATTTACTCCATAGTTTAGGTAAGGAAGTGCAGGTGAAGAAAACTATTCTATAAAACTTTGCAGTAGAAGCAAAAATAACCAATACGCCAGGAAAGCCAAAATGAAGTTTGAAAGAGACACAGAGATGACAGAGAAATGGAGATGATACGGTACAGTAGAAACACTGTGAAAAATTTACCTTTTTAATGCTCAAACAACTTAAGCATTCATCATGGCAAAGCACTGGCAAGCAGTTAAGAGAAGCAACAAAACAAACAATAACATTAGGGTTAGAAAGTAAGGAAAAACTTTAAACTTGTGTTAATTTGGAGGAAAAAGGAGAGCTGAAGGTCATGATAACCAGGCTGAAATATAGTCACTTTTATTCTAACTTCAGGAAATGAAGTGTCCAGAGAGAAAGTTTGAAGTGAAAGAAAGAACCCCTCATTTTAAATCTACAATGTAACCAAACTCAATGAATGGAGATGCAGTATGGACCACAAACACAGTGTGCTGTATTTATTTGTCTAGGTTTAGAATGTCAATGAGAATTCTGGTCTCATCGTAGCTCCCAAAGGAATATGTTTTAATATTGTTTTCACTTTAATGTAAACACACTCAAACCTCATGCTCAAACCTTTTTGCAGTTATTTAGTTTTTTACTAATCTCTTAATCCTTTGTCTTGATATGATCACTTCTGAGAGCAAATAAAATGCTCCAAAAAAGATGTTCTCCTCTTGCCAATAGATCAGCTACAGCATGCCAATGTTTCAAGCGTAACCAGTGCAAAGGAACCATTTGTCACCCGTACATCAATATCTTGTGTGTGTGTGTGTGTAATGTGTGTGCGTGACACACGGTGCGTGCATGCAGGCGGTTCGGGTGATCGGCGGGTAATCGCGTTTGTCGGTTGGTTGATTATTTGTTTGGTTAATGTTAGAATTTAGTTTGTTTGGGATCCTCAGCCAGTTGTCACGCACCTCCTCATCCTCCAGGCGGCGCTGCGTTTCGGTGATGAACTTGATGTACTGACTAGTCAGCGTCATCAGCTCACTGTACCGGGTCCTCAGGGTTACATACTGATAGAGGGAGAAAACAAACATCATGTTTCATTTTCAGATCAATGCAAATGTCTGTCACAGTGAATTCAATGTCGCATCTTTCATCTCTATTATTTACCACCTAAATACTTTGGCTGTTTCACCCGGGGGCTTATTGTTGCGTGCCCTCGTCACTTTTTGGAAAAGCTAGCAAAACCTAAACATTTCTTATACTCAAGATTAAACTTCAAATGGACCTTTAGCCTGATTGTAACTTCAAACAGAGGGGATTCTTTGTGTGATTTTAGAAGACATATTTAAATCTTTGCCCCTGTAATGTTGTGACCGAGGTATTCTTATATCAGTGTTGTTTCTTCCAGCCCAAACAGGCTGACAAGGCAGACTATCGGTTTTAGGTTAGACCAACTTCAGAAATGATGTATGCTTTTATACTTTATACCAACTCAAATAGATTGATAATGTTTATGTGTAATATTCACCTAGTTTGCCTGATTTTCCGATCTTTAGAAATAAGCCTATCGTTTACCATTCAATCAAACTTCTGATTTCATCCAACTAGTTTGTGAGGTTCTTTCTGCCATCTTATAAATGTGCACACAGGTCATTATATAGGCCTAAAGTAGCTCATGTATTCAACATCTCCTCGGTCGAAGGACATGCTCACAGCAGCGATCACTGCTACGTCCTACCACCTGAGTGAAATACCAAGCTGTATCCAACATTGGTTGTAAAGACACCGACCTCCTGAATGATGTTGTCAGAAGCAGAATCCATTTTGGTTTTCTTCAAGGGAGACGCATGGGGATCCGCTTTAGCATTGTAGGCGACCAGCTGGAGTTCATAGTCCTATTGAAACATTTTCCATAGATCAGTTACTCCACAAAGACTTTTTCAAATGCTCCACATTAAAGTATTTACAACATTTAATGCAACAGTGTGTTCCAAGCTTACCTTAATAGAATTGATGTATGCTTTGGCATATTTCTGACACTCGTCAACGTTTTCTTTGTTGTTCTCAATCTCCTCCAGCAGTTTCTGTTTGGAGTAAAAGTTTGATTAGTAGTTGAAGTCCTTAGTTCATGTAAAAATAAATAATAAATAGTGCTTAGAAAAAGGAACTCATATCAAGCGATGTACCTTCTCCTGTGACAGTTGTTCTTTTAGAGTTTTGCTGTCGGTGATGGACACAGCTTGGATGTTCTCCTGCCTTTCCTTAGCGTCAGTGATCCAGTGGATCAGCCAATCGTAGCTCTCGTGATAGTAGCCGAGCTGGCGGCCGAGCTGCTCCAGCTCCCTGTGGCGAATTTCCATCTGGGTGAACACGGCCTTCCAGCGGTCCTGAAGACCAGACACGTTCTGGCGGAAGTGGTCCAGCTCGATGTCGCGCTCGCTGTGCACACGAGACATCTTTTCGCTCACTGTGGTGGCCTTCTGCAGCTCTTCTTCCAGAGAGTCAAACACTGGCTGTTCGCCCTCAGCTTCAGCTCGCATTTTCTGCAGATTTCATATAAAAAGAAAGGCGAGTTAGCAGTGAGCAAACAAAGTCAAAATGAAAAGTGAATTGGGACTGAGCAGATAAATGGGAATTATTTCCGATTATTTCTGTATGCAAATATAATGGCTGTTCCAAATAATTGGAAACTTCATTCATAAACTTATCATATATACATATATAGATCATTATTTAAATGGCTAAACCCAGTATTACGGCACATATGCAGACACTACACCCACTACACAAATTGTATTAATATTTACTATTTGTAGAATTACATTCCGGTGGTGGCTGCATAGTGTTGCTTCCTCAAAAGTATTACAAATAATGATGTAAAGATTTCCAAAATTCTCACGACAATTGTATGTTACAAATGAGTCCTCTTACTGTAAGTCAAATTAAGTTGGTTTTTTTGCCTTTCAAAAAAATGTTTTATTATAAAATCAATAAAACCAAAATTGATGTTTCCTTTTTTTTTTTTACAATGACTTCATTTGAAAACCTTAATATCAAATGTGAAAAAATAAAATTGATTTAGTACAGCCCTAGAAAATGTAAAATCCCTTTAAAAAAATGTCCCTCTGACAGATGTTGTATTTCTGAACCAAGAACAATGGGAACATAATAATATGCTGTTTACCTTGAGCTTTGCTCTGTAACTCTCTACTTCCTTGGCGTCGCTGGGCACGGTGTGGACCTCGCGCAGACAGTCCTCGTACTGCTTGAGCACTCCCTCAGCACCCTGCGTGTTACGGATCACCATTTCCACGGTCTTCAGCCTGGGGACAAGAAACAATGAGTAAATAAAGTGGCTAGTACATGTTCTGAAGAGAAACTGGCTGGCGAGGACTCACTTCTCCAGATAAACGGAGGAGAGCATGTGGGCGTGATCCATCTTCTGCACGGTGAGGTCGAGCTCTGAGCGCAGGACGGGAGCGGAGACAGACTTCTGAGGGGAGGCCAGCACCTCTTCTGTCTTCACAGAGACCTTAACAAGGTCCTTTTTGAGGCTCTCGAGCTTCACCTGGCATTTCTGCACAACAGAAGACAACAAGAGTTAGCAACACCTAAAGAGTTCACACATGTTAAACACCAACTGACAACAAAAAGCCTGTTATGAGGAATAGATTGTATATAATAATATATATTATATTATAGTGCTGGATTTATTTGTGTTGGCAAGATGGGGTGCAACATTTTAACTTTCTCAGATCAGCATGTACCTGAGCAACTGTACAATCTCTCTGAACTACATACACAATCAATACCTTAAGCAACAAGTATTCTCTTCTGTATTTCAAGATCTTTGCTACACACTCTTACTTTAATTATACACTGTGAAAGAGATTATGAAAATATGTTCTTCTTTCAACCAATGCGGCCTATTATTTTGCCTAATTATTTTTGTATACTTATCAAAGTACCTTTTTAGTTTCCTCTTCTAAATTGATCTATTTTACTCGGGCCAGTTGACGGCTAGGAATATTACATGACTTCACCTCTGAAGATATTGGGCCATCAGTCTTTTATGAAAGTTAACGACTGCATGATGCTCACCAATTGTCATAAGGGTCAGACATATAGGGGAATGTGCTCCTGACAAATGCCCAACATTTAGACATGTCAAACCTTTTCTCTAAATTAGGACATGTGGCATTTTGCATAGAGGACAATAGTATGCAGTAGAAAAAAGTCAAACCAATGCCGAGCTGCCTTAAACTTGCAGTCTTTCAAATGACCAGCAGGGGGCGACTCTACCAGTAGCAAAAAGACAATCGGATTGTATTGCTCTTGCATTGAGAATAATAGGATGCTTTATACAACCTACCAACTGAAGCATATGCAAAGCAATTCTTTTTAAGCGCAGTCCGATTGTACAGATGTCTACGAAGAAATGTTCCCTAATTCTCACTAGATGTATTACCCAGTTTGCAGTCTCCTAACGGTCTGCTAGTCTTATTAATTAATATGTCAATGCAGCGTAATGAATATTGCCACAATGCTTTTTAAAGTACCTTCTGGTCTGTTGTCTTCTGGTTACATTCCTTCAGAGGTTCCTTCTCCACAGGTTTGCGTATGCGAGCCAAGGTGGAAGTCTCGCAGTCCTCGATGCGCACCCGCAGGTCCTTGATCTCAGAGATGTAGTTCTTGCACAGAGTCTCATCCTGCTGACCTGTGAAGCAGCATTTTAGTTTAGATCAGCAGAATCATATTTGAATGTTGCCTAAAGCTGAAGTGGAGGAAAAACAGACGACATAAACATACTAAGCAAGCAGCTTAGTTCCAGTGTTGGACTCTAATGAAGTACTTGGCAGTAGTACAGCAACTTAGTTTGGTGAGTATTTTCACTTTAAACTTCTACTTCACTACATTTTAAAAGCTAACATTTGACTTTTTACTCCATCAAATGTATATGGCAGATTAAGTAACTTTACAGGTTCAAATTATTAGCTAATAAAACATAAAAATACACTAATAAATATAAATGTACATATAATCATAGGATAAATACCCATCAGCAGTATACAACGTAATTCAAATGAACTCTACCATTACCAGCTGTGGTTAACCTAATGATATCATCTGAAATAGGCCACTACGCTTAACTGGTCATTTTACTTTTGGTACTCGTAAATATTGTGATGCCAATAATGTTTGACTTTGAACTAAGTCAAATTATGAATGCAGGACTTTACCTTGTAACAAAGTATATTTCAAATGATTAGAAGTATGCTGAAATGTAGTATTGCTGCTTTTCTTAAGTACATATTCCAGCACTGCTTAGACCAGCGTTTTGCCTCAATGTAAGACGTGGCAGGTTTATGATTTGGTATTGTTTGTGTTATTCTACATCTACCAAATATTTGCTGTGCACAGAAGCACAATCACACATGCAGCATTTGTTGTGTTGTGAAATAAAAACACTCCATATACATTACAGTCATAGCGTAACGCATGTGCGATTATTTTATGCCTAAATAATCACACATACGTTGATATAGCTGCATTTCAAAAAGCATCGGCAGCCTACACATTAAGTTGTGCAGAGCTGCTGAACACATTTCAACGTGGGAACCCAAACAACATGCCGTGCATCAGAACTCTACTATAACACTTATGGTAATATTTCAACCTCTCATTCAAAGCATGTACACACACTAGCTTGGTGAGTGTTGACCGAGGCTGATCACTCACCTTTGAGATTCACAACCATTACTCCTAAAAGGTGAATGAAAGTGATACACTGTAAAGCTGATATTCATTGAAGGTATTACCTTTGTTAAACTATGGAAGCCAATAGGGGACTTTATTATAATTATACAATTAAAATATATTTCCACACACCCGTATGGGCATCCCAACATCATATTCAAATTCAAATGATTTATTTTTCAAAGTTTTACCATATAGAGTGGACTATATATTCAAATGTTAATTACAATTTGAAATCAATATACAATATTAATAACGTAACATGTTATTTTCTAACTTATGTGAGAAATATTAATTAATTAATAACATTTTTTTTTTTTTTTAAGGACTTTTTATTTTAAGGACTTTTTAAAAACTATTCAAATGTTTTATTATGACAAATATATTGCTTGCATACATTTAAATTCAAGTTAAATTGTTCATTCAGCATTTTTGTTTAAAAAAAAAAGATTTAACATTTGCATATTGGCCAATGTCGATCGGGGCATGACTTTGAACAAATGAAAGGACAAATAGCTCTTCTATTTTATTATGGTCATAGAGCACCCATAAGAGCATGTGCAAATTAAAAAGCTAATGTTACTATTGCTTTTACGTTTGGATTTTAACATAATAATACATACGTGTGGAATATGTGGAAAACGATAATGCTATCATGGCCCTACATTTCTATTTTTAAGTTTACACCATGTTTAATAAAGTCCCTTTTGGGCTTCCATACGTAACCATGAATAATGAAAGGCTATATTTTCTTAAGAGAACATTTGGTGTTACCTTTCTCCATGGAGCGCAGCAGGCTGTCGAAATGCTGGGTGGAGTTGGTGAAGTCTCCCTCCACCTGCATGCGGTCGTCGGGGCCGAAGAGCTGCGAGTCCTGGCTGTCGCGCATGTAGTCCTGGTAGTGGAGCTCCAGGTTCCTCATCATCAGCCGGTACTCCTCAGGCTTCATGGACTTTAACTGCACAGGCGCAGACGAAAAGGGGGGAGGTCTTATTGATGAGGCAAACTTCAGGAGAATTCTACTGCATATTGTGTTTGATTGAGTTATGTACTCTTGAAGTCTAAGAAGTTTAGTTTGAAGTCTTTATTTTGTGGAGTAAAATACACAGAATCATTAAAGTATAAATATATCACTGTCACTATTTTCGGACATGCCATAATTTAATCAGACTTCAAACAGAACTGTTTTTTAAATAAAAGCCACAGTTTCACCTCCCTAAGTACATTTAGCTGAAGCTTTTATATTGTTTAAGTTCAAATACTATGTTTTCAGTATTGTTCTTTCGTTTTCCAACACCAACGACCAACATTTACACTTATTCTGTAACATATGCCTATTAAATGGAATCTTTTACATTTTTTCTTGCATAAAGGTGGCAAAGTATTCACCATGATAATGTTCCAGGAGCGGATCAGTTTGAAGTCTCTCATCAGATACTGCCATGACAGCAAGCTCTTCATGTCTATGTGGAGCGTCTGCCACATGGTAACTATCTGCTGATAACCTGTATCCAGACTGGAGAGGAACAAAGAGTGCAGCAAATTAGGAACAGTTGGTACTTCAGACATTATACCTTGAGCTTTACAGTTGCAGAAATGCAGAAATGACCGCCTTTAAAGGAATGTTTGACCCAAAATATGAAATATCCACGATAAGAAATAATGAAAATGTAGAGTGCATGGATGAATGAAACTTGGATTGTACCAAGTTTTTAAAGGTACTCTTTTTAAATAACGTTTGCTGTTGTAAATATCTGCTCTGATTTACTTCAGGAAAAGCAGCAACGTATCTTCATAAATTCAAGGTAACACATCACGAGTAACTGATCTACAAACATGTCATTTTGTGTGTGAGGTATTCATTGAAATGAATAATCAGTTAAAGGTTATCTCTAGCGTCACATGTTCCCAAAAAAGAACCACCCTTTCCACAAACCCTGCTGTTTCAGGACTTTACGAAACATGTTACCTCTACCACCATGAATACCATCTCATCATCGTATTAAAGCTACAGGCGAGTTCAAGACTCTTTCTTTTTCACCGCGTTCTCACCTGGACACGCCGTCCACTGCCTCCTTGTTGACCGGAGGCACCATGAAGCAGACGGAGGGCACCACCGCCTCGTTTCCGGAGTGGTTCAGGACCTTCCACTTGAAGGGCTGCGAGTTGTTGAGGAGCGCGCACTCGTCTCCTTTGTGCACAGTGATCTGAAGCACAACCAAACAACGATACATTACAGTACATACATGAAATAGGACATGCTAAGGTTCTGTGATTAGTTTGGGGTCCCTTTGCTGGGAAATAACACTGTACTGACCTCCTGTTGCTTGAAGTCACACACAGCCTGGATGGGCAGTTTGCCTTGGATGGAGGTGGTGGGGTTGCGTGGCTTCAGCTGAATAATGGACTTGGCTCTCTTGTTCAGACTGGTCGCAAGAGTCTTGTATTCATTCAGCAGTTCCTTCTCCTCCTGATGAACACAAAACAAATAGGACTTAGAGAAATGTAATTCCTAGGTTTGTAATGGTGCGCACTTGGAAGCACTTTTCAGATCCTTAATAGCATGATGAAACAATTGGCAATCAAAACGTTACCTAAGTCAAGGTATGTTAGTATAATCAGTTAAATGTACTTAAAGTACAAGCTACATATTTATTGTGTAGGTTCCCTGTCTGTTTTACTATTATATATTGTGTGTTTGGATATATATATATATATATATATATATATATATTGCTGCTGCATTGATGTGTATGTTGTTTAATGTTGTGCTTATTTTACCTCCTTACAAGTGATAACTATTCTACCAAATGTGGTGTAGTAAAACCACATCTCTGAAAAGCAGATAATAAGAAGTATAGGCAGTCAAAAATAACCAGGTAAAGAACAAACACCTCTTAATAAGGAAATAATCACAATACCTTGATATACTTTCTAATTCCTTTTACATATGTTTGAGATCTGGCATCATCACGTGCATGTACAGCTTAATAATGGCTCACCACAGCATCCTGCAGCAGGTCTTCCAGGCGTGTGGCTGTGGTGGTGCGATCACAACTGTACTTCTTCTTCATGTTCTCTTGCATCTTCTTCATCTTGTCCTGAGCTTCTTTAACATCGGCAAAGAACTGTGTGGAGAGAGGGGACTCAACACTTGGCTCTTTGCTCTATGAGTGGAATTCGAGAGACTCATTTATAATAAAATCACTGTTCCATACCTGGTAGTATGCTGTGTTTTCTTTGAGATGAGCCTCAATACAGCAGCACAGCTGAAGGATCCAGCTCCACTGAGTCTGCAGGGCAGCGGTGAAGTCCTGCAAGAGACGTGAAGACAGTGCATAAGTCAAGGCGGCCTTGTTAATGGTAGTACTGTAGCTTTTATACAGCATGTGGAGTATTAAAGGGGCCCTATTTTACTTTATCATAACTGTATTTTGTGCCTTTACTTTGACATGTTTACATGCTTTCATGTTGAAAAAAGTATGTATTTGTCTCATAATGACTGTGCCGCAGCACCTCTTTAAACCCTCTGTTTGAAACCAGAGCCCAGTCTGCTCTGATTGGTTAGCTGGCCGGCTCTGTTGTGATTGGTTAACAGCTTAGAGATGTCCCACCCCTTGCCTATCTTGTACAATTTGTCAGGCAGGGGGGGGGGGGGGGCGTGTTGAAGAGAAACCATATACATGCACAATAACATATATAACACTGGGAAAGGAAAACCCAAAAAAGCATAACAGGGCCTCTTTAATGTCCAAATTGACCAATTAGAGCCCAGTAATCAACTAAGCCTTGTAATGACAGCAGTTACCTCAACAGTCTTCTTGCCAGGATGTCCATCCCTGACCAGCCTCTCTCCCATGGCCTGCAGATCGTTGACTTTCTTCTCCCTCAGCTCCAGCTCTCGCATTAGACCCTGAACAATGAAAATACAAATGTAAATAACTGCAATCTTTGGAGAAAAATCTTTTATTTTATGAATTCACATTAAATTAATTCATCTAAATATCTTCCACTGTCCCTTTTCCTGAAAAAGCGTACATTTGGGACGAATAATAAGGTTTCTGATTCAAATACAAACTCTTTGATAACACACCGAGTAGTTGTCTTTCTTAGCCGTCATGTTGGGGTTCTTGTCGCTCCAGTCAAAGTTGACTTCCTCCTCTTCCTTGTCGTTTAACCACATCAGTTCCTTAGTGGAAGCGCTGATGAAGGCGTGGAGCGAATCTAAGTTCCTCAGACGGGACTTGGAAGAGTTCTGAAAGAACAAAAAACACCCTTCAGATACTAAGAACTACAACTTATAGCATGTGTTACTAAGAACTACCATTTATAGCATTTGTATTCAGTGCGGATTGATACATGAAAATATTTACCAGAAGTTTTCCATAGTGAAGGTCCAGTTTACCCATGTAATCTCTGTACGCGCCCTTGCTGACTGGAGAAATCTGGCTCTGTAGAAGGTAAAGGAATGGTTTACTTTTCAAATCAACTGCACGGCATCAACAGCATAACATAACAGTGTAAAATCTCTTCTGATGAGTTACCTCGTCAGCCCTCGCCCGTTCAATCTTGGCGCGGAAGTCCTCTATAGTCTGGTGCAGACCTCTGTGGCTGCCCAGCTGGGACTCCACCGAGGGCAGATCAGAGCCCCACTCGGACTCGTTGATGCGGATTTGGTTCTCTTCCACCCAGATTAGGAGGTCTTTGAGATAGTGAAGGGTCACATCGTCCTTATCAGGCCGCACCTTCGAGGAGCTCTGCTGGATGGTATTGGAACTGGTCCTGGTGACATGGGAAGTGGTGACGGAGGACTTCAGGCGGAGGTTGTAGTCGGTGCGCAGGTTCACCAGGCGCTCATGGATGCGGTAAACCCTGTGGAGATGAGAGAATTGGAACTGTCTTACATATTTGTCCTATTCCTGCAACTACTTGAATGGTATGAGTAATGAGAGGTGCAGAAATAAGTCCTAAAACCCTGGAATGGTGTCTCTCGTCTCAAAGTCAACGTTTTTTAAAAATTGTTTGACACCTGAAATAACGTCTGTGGTTAACACAAGAGAATTAGAAATGTTCATGTTTTGTTCTAAGAGATATCACATCAGTAAATACCCCGCTCAGGAATATCCGAAGCTTCTATGTGTCATAGAAACGTTCGTTTCTAGCATAAAGGATATGCGTAGGATGCAGCATTGGTTTTTATTAATGTACAAAGCCATTTTAGGTAAGCTTCCACTGTACATATGTGCCAGATTTGCTCCAGTTTGTGACTCTTACAACCTCAGATCCAGTGCCTGGATACGGTTCCAGGTTCCTGCTTTGCAGACTGAGGCTGGGAAAAGGAGTCTTTTTCATTATGGTCCTTGGTCTTGGAATGACCTTCAATCACGCCTTGTTTTAAATTGAAGTTGTCTGAGGTCCTTACCACCAGCTGCTCTTGCAGTAATAAGTAGTACCTTTCTTACTGTCCTAATGTGCACAATGTAGTGACTGCTTTTCATCTTTTGTTTACTTAGTTGTGTTCTCTGTATTTTACATGTTATGCGTTATGTGTAACGTTGCTGCCTTCTTGGCCAGGTCAGCATTGTAAATGAGATTGTATCTCAATGCTTTTTATCTGGTTAAATAAAGGTTAAATAAAAATAATAAACTAATTGAGACTACTAAATGTCATCACGCTGAACTTTAGCTGCCTTTAGCTTTGCCATGGTAACTCGCAGCCATGGTAACTCGCAGCTATGAACCGTGATGCAGTTTGTTTACTTCTGGCGAATGCATTTATGATTAGAAAATCATATAGGGTGTGTATATGTGGAGGTTATCCTGCTGAACAAAACGCTTAAATATCATAAATATATCTTTGCCAAAAGTCGTGTTTTCTGCAATATTTCTAAATCCAATGGAACAGTTTCAATGCTTTTGGTCAAGAGAGCCCTTGTAATGGTAATTATGGGAGCAATCCAAAAAAATACTTCACCATCGTGTTACTCTATTGCACTATTTTATGTCTTTTACTTTTGGCTAATGTATCTTGCACAAGGACACTTTGACATGTTGACTGGGTTGGGATCGAACTGGTGATCCACTTTGCACCCACCTGCGGTACATCTGCTCGGCCTGAGGGTGGCGCTCGTCCTTAAGAACCTGCACATCGTTGAAGAGAAGGCGGACCTGCTTTTCAGCGTTGTCCAGCTCCCTATCCACTTCTGCTGCGTGCTGAGCTGGTTTCCCTGCATTCAGCAGACGGATGTCCTGAAGGGATAGAAGCCAATACAATAATCAAATTCAATCTCCTTTTTCAAATGTCATCAAAATGTAATTAAGAAATATACGATCGAACAGAAGTTTATAGTAAGTTTGTGAATGATCTAGTATTCTAAAGTTTGCAGAGGAATGTAAAATCCCCTTTTTCTTAGGTCACAATGACATAGAAAAAAAGCTGTATGGTTCAAATTATTTTACTGTGGATTATTTCTTCTTGAACAAACACAGAAGTATGTATTTCTAATATTAGACCTTAGTAGGACTCACCGTCTGCAGCAGGGCCTCCAAGTGGCTGAGTTGCGTATCGCAAGTCCCTGACTCCATCTGGACTTTAGTGACAATCCTCTGGAGCCTCTCAAGTCTGGATATGATAAAAAAATAAATAATTAAGATCAATACTATTAATAACATAATTTTTCCCTGTCCCAACTCCACAGTATAAATGCCATCTTTGGCATTTCTAGGACAAAATCCCATGTTAGACAACCGCGTTGCATTCAGACTACCAGAAGCTAGCGATCACTTACAGCCATGAGCGTTGCAGCAAATACTCCAGTTTATGAGGGTCACCCAGAAATGCCATTCCTCTACGCTTTCATAAAGACTACAGTTCCAGCTCCAAGGACCTCAGTCCTTCTCACTCTCCTATTGTCTCTATTGGAAAACACTCTGCTTGTGTCTCTCTCTCTGTCTGAGACAAAATTGCTTTCTGACAAAGACATTTAGTCTGCTCATTCCACATCTCTGAAAGGCTATCAGCGTTCGAGATGACCGGGCCATCTTGTGACACCAAACCAGCACATTTTCCAGGCATGATGCAACGCTCCTCTAAATACATGGAACATTTATAATGTCTCATTCTATAATAGAATAAAAATATATAATTAGGATGAAATTAAATAGACTATTTAATTTCATCCTAATTATATATTTTTTTGTGTCCCATTATGCTGAACACATCTCTCTTGTGTTGATAGAAGCCAAATTGTTTATGACAGGAATATTTGGTGCCACTCCTCCTTCCAAAGCAGGAAAATTATGCCATATTTCTGTGACTCAAAATATAGGATGGCCAAATAGCATTCCAAGTTGTTTGTTCAATAAGCAACTTTCGTCAAAAGTCAACCAAAATGTCAACCTGACTGAGTTGCAGTTTACATCCATTTCTGTTAAAATTGTCATTGGTACATCATTTTTGTCTTATTAGACATTTGAGTAATATTGTCATATTTAGCATATGCTTTCTTGAGTTATAGCAAACATGCGTTTATGAAGTCACAGATACTTTTAAACACAAAATGTAATAATTTCATTATTGAGTCCCAGTGAATGATCCAATTTTAAAGAAATACCCTTTACGCATTTCTTAGATATCACGCTCACGGAAAAAAAAAAAGTGGACGGACAACATTGGACACATTTTGCTGGCACTGGGGTCTACTAAATAAATAATTGGCAATGATATATTTTTGCTATACCTTTTCGAGCATAGCTTTGGTGATGTTGGAAGTGTTGCAGGACAGCTAGCTAGCTTCATTATCAAATGCTAAAGCTAGGCTACTAGGAATCTTTTACTTAGTAGCTTAATATTAAATGTCTTATTTATATAAAATGGTGTCCTGTAAACATTTTAGTCCTTGTTTAGACGAGTATAATCACAATTGGAATCATAAATATATAAATATATGCTAACCTCTCAAACTCTATCCTGAGCAGCCGTTCTCTTTCCAGGATGGCCACGTGAAGTCGACCCCATTCTTTCTCCACATCAATGGGATGGTAGCCCGGAGGGACCTTCACCTGACCAGCCTGCACGGCACTCTGTGGGCAGGTGGAAAGAAGAATGCATAAGCCATAACTCAATAGAACAGAGTACAATAAAACACACAATAATAGAACATTATCTTGCCTCAAAGGTCTGGTAGATGTGTTTAGTCCGGTTCTTGTCAGTCTCTTTCACTGGCAGCTCGGTCTCCTTGAACTTTGAAAACTGGCGCCAAATAATCTTAAGAAAAAAACACACACATTGAAAATTATAATTATAATCATGTTTGTTATTATGGTAGTAATGTTTTATTAATTTAAACAATTTACATGTCCCTTTTTTGCCCCTCGAAAATGTGCTTTAGACAAGAATACTCTTCTATTCCTTTACAGAACAAATCCTAAAACCTTGACTTTACTTAAATGACACAACGTTGTACTTGTGAAATGATCTTGGAATCCTAATTTCGTAAACAGAATGATTAAATGAACACATCACGCTATAGTGAGTACATAGTGACTTGCCGTCCTCCATTTGTTCCTTCCCATGACTGGTGTTAACTGAGTTGGAACTTATGAGTCAAATAACTTCCCTACCTGTATTATGTAAGTAAAATGTTACTCTCTAACCAGACATAACTGTGTTAAAGCAGCACAAGAAAAGCTACTTTTGCAGATGCTTTGACTTCAAAAGATAATTAAACCAAAGGTTTGCACTATGCTTTTTTGGTGCAGCAGACACAGGGAGTGGCACCGTTATCATTCTCCTCGGGATTATGCTTTTGTCTGCCTTCTGGCTTCTTTTTCTCAGCACTGCCCCACCCTCTCTATGGGACAACAGCAACTGCAAATACAGTTGCCTTTATCTGCCAAAAGCTAGACATGATATAAGTGTGTTCTTTGATCTAACATTGGAAACCTATTATTTTTTACAATAATAAACACATTCACTTACTTAGATATACATTTACATGACATACTTCACTTTTAGCAGCCCAACCCTTTAAAACTGTGCAATTCAGCATTAATATTATACTAATCGTAATGCACCACTGTTTGTATTGAAATATACATGGTATGTATTCTAGTACAATATCCACATTTTTACTTCTTATGTTTATAAATATTAAACATTTTCATTCTATTTAATTGTATCTTTAATTGGACATTTTACTTCAACGTGTCATTTATATATAAATATATGCATTTCTATATTTTACTGCACATTTGAACTTTTTCAGTAACTTATTAGTTTTCATCAATATATTTATTTGTATTCAAATGTTTTACTCGTTTCTTTAAATAACCTGTAAATGTATTTACATTGAGGAACTGTCACAAAATCGAATTTCCCCCAGAATAAACCATACATTCTGATTCTGAATGATTTTCACAAAGAGCATTGAGGAAGAACTTAAAATAATATTTTGCTATTTATTGTTGCTCGACTATAAACGTATTTAAGACAAATCTCAAGCCGAGAGGCTTAAAATCAGCATATCATCTCACCTCGATCTCCTCATAGCTGCCGGGGAACTTCCTCTCCCCGAAGATCGTGACATGGTGGCGGATCCACTGGAGCAGAAGAGTCACCAGCTCGTAGTATTCCTGCCAGCGCAGCTCCAGCTCCTGCAGCCGACACAGCAGAACAAACACAGTCGTTTAACCACAACAGACAGGAGAACGCTTATTCTCCTGCGTCGCCATGTTCCCTCTAGCTAAACTCAATTAGGTACGGAACAATCCAGGTCTTGTGTGAGTGGAAAAGGAGGTAGATGGAGGAGAAGGGGTGGATAAAATGGGGGAAAAAGTGGAGGAGACAATGCTGTGAGACAGACAGACAGCAGGATAGTTCTTCAGTTCTCCCATGTTCCAAAAGTGTATGCAGTTATAAGAAAGAAAAGTCAAGTTAAAAACATTTGTGTAACTAAGAACATTTTTGGCTTTTAAATATATTTATTGTTTTTAATCATGTTGTGCTATTTCATTGCATATGGTATAGATTATGGTAATTTTGTACTTACAATTAGAACATTTCACCTCAGCTCATATAATAAATCCTGAATTCAAAATTCTAGTTTTTAAATTACAATGTTAAGATTTTTTTTTACTTCAAAATAAAGAAGAAGTATGTTAAAGGACATATTTCAAGGGTTTAACATTTGAAAAAGGCTAGTTATGATATATTATATGATGATATATATTGTTATAAATATTTTACTTGGGGAAAGTTGAAAATAATAATATTACATCATATTTTAAAGGCATCTTCATTATTGGTGTATTACATTTTTGGGAACATAGTAATACATCACAGTTATTTTTGTACTGTAAAGACATCAGAGCAACATTTTTAAAGTGAGGCACAAGGGTTACAATTAGGACTTGAAATACAACAAGAAATGAAATGCCCCAGCATGTCATTAGTGTGTGTGAATACACTACCACAGCAATAGCAGTATGTTTTGTGTTAACAAATAATAAGTGATATAGGATCTTAACCCCTTTAGCTTACGTATTGTAAACACCACAGGAAGCTTATTTACTATTTATTTGGTTTCACAAGACTCCTTTTAACAAAAGCTTTTTTAGAAGCAGAGTCACAAGCCTCTTCAGGTTTGATTCAATCTGATCAAGCAATCAAAAAGATCAAATTATAGCAACCATTTGTGTATTTTGAGCTTGCATTAACTTTTGCTTAAAGGGGCAGTTCAACCCAAAAATGTTTTGATTGCGAGCCTACCAAACTACACCCACCAACAAGTAAAAATAAACACGCCTGCTGCTTCCCCTCCTCCCTCCTCCCTCCTCGACTCCTCCACTCGCATCTCCTGTGGGCGGGACTAAGACACGAGGATAGGAGTCGAGGAGGGGAGTCGAGGAGGGGAATTAGAGAAATTAGAAACCTTCAATGACTAGCTGGATGGAACAAGTTCTGCTTACGCTAGATCTGGCGCCATCATGTACATCCATCCTTGGCATGACATCATACAGGGATGATACGTAAGTGATGATGGACTTCTCGTCAGGGTGTGGAACATCCACATCTGAAAGTAAAAGTAGAAATTGGATTATATCATTTTTATTTCAAATTGAAAATGTATAACAGATGTCAGTAACTCATAGTAATATCACAGCAAAGCACGTAACATTATGCTGAATAAAACTATTATTATATATATTATATTTCATATAAATCGACTTAGGCCAAATCTTACCCTCGGGGTCCAGGAGGCGTGTCACTCCCAGGTCTCTCTCCGCCACATTGAAGGCTTGTTCCAGGTTCTCTTGGTTGGACTGTTGGTACACTCTGCCCATGTCAATGAGTCTGGGACTGGGGGAACACAAAAATGGACGATTAATTACTAACTGGGTACAGGAAGGCGTGTACGTTATAATAATATTCTAATCTGCAGTGATAGGACACACACTTAGAGTTCCCATTGCAACACTGCCATTATACTTTGGATGGCAATGTATAAGTGTTCAAGTTTGTGCATATATACAATTTTACACTAGGGAAATGGGATGGGATAGAGGGCTCATAACATTAACACATGTGATTTAATAGGGCCATTTTAGTTTTGGTCTTTTGCGTTCTATTTTTTGGCAAATGCATATGGTGTAACTATTGGCAAGGGTTTGCAGACTTTTTTTTGTCCAAAAAGATGGATCTTAGCTCACATGAAAATTCAACTCAACAAAAAAAAACTGTATAGCCAAAACTATAAGACCCTTGAGAACAAGAATGTCCCATTTGAAACCCATTAAAACAAAAATGTTCCAACCCATGGCCACAACAGCATACAATCATCCATTATATTTCTAGCGTTTCACTTTCATAGATGTGGGTCCAATTTTTGTTGGACTTTTCCAACAGATTGAGTTATTTTGTCACGCTTTCCCAATTAGCAAATACATGCTGTTCCATGGTTTTCATTAGGGGCTTTACTTCTGTATTACGTTTTTGAAATGCATCAATTTCAATTTGGTTGCCTCTTTGACAATGACACTCCTTGTGATTATATTATTTTATTTAGTTTTTGGCTCGTAATAACATTTGCCTTAGACAACTGGCATCTATAGGGATACAATTCTGAACATTTGGGACTGAAGATCTGGACTGAACATGGGGAAATATGTTACACAGTGCAATAGAAAAAATGTGAATACATAACATACTGTGGTAGTTTCTTTGACTTCAACTCATCTATACTGATCCACTTTCTTTTATCGTATAACACGAATAGCAGCAGTTGCTGTGCTTTTTCAAGACCATCTGCCAATGGCAACCTGCTATTAAAAAGCCCACTTGTTATCTTTCTGATGGACCGGCACGAGCACCTGCCTTTTTGTCCTCTGGGTGTTTGAATATCTCTGGCAGATGTCATCTGTAGGTCAAATGTAAATGATAGAGAAGCTAACGTAATCAAAGCTGACATGCGGGAAGTAGGCACCCACCCACAATTTGACTGCATGAACAGCATTGCAGAAACTCATCTTCAAGGCATTCATATTTGCATATTTGAACTTTCATAAACAGCTTTAAAAGCATTTTTAAATCCAACAAATTAAACTGTGTAATGCATATCTATTACAGTACTGATTTTGACATTTACCAAGCAAATACAATATGTTGACAAAAAAAGCTTCATACGCCTGCCTGATGCATAAAGTGGAACGTCCTGCATTACGTCCAGAAACCGGAGAATCCTCCACATGGCGAGTTTCTCGTACAGAGTATTGCTTTGTTGGCCTAGAGGACGTCTTCTGTCCCTCTCTTCCATGAAAACTGAGGGACCTCCATCCATGGCCCAGTTCGTCGCTGCTGGAGCGGGCCCCTGAGCGGGCCCCTGAGCTTTGGGAGCCCAACCCTGAGTCCCAGGAGGATCCCTCTGACGGGATATCCTCGCACAACATGACCACCCGGTTTTCGACATTGCTGGCGGATCCTGACCTGCCACCGATGAAGCCCAGGCTTCCCTTCTTCTTCTTAGACTTCTTTCTTAAACTGAGCATCGTAAAAATCTACCAGATGGTCCAAGTAAATACGGCAGGGGCTGGCTTCAGCTAACTCATCCTTTAAAGGCTTGATGGTTCAATCCATCCAATCCATAGTCAAACATGTCCATAGTCATGTGAAGATCCCCTTAATCCCTCTGAAACAGCTATATGCCACCTAAACTTAACCGTAGCTTTGGAAGTCACTAAACCTTCTTCCATAAAACCCTCGACACTCTCGAATTCTCATGTTGAACGCATTTTCCGGGACGCCCTTAACTTTGCCTCAACACAAAGTAATGCCACAGTTTTCATGCAGCAGCCACTGAGTGCTACAGTTACGCCCACACCTTACCCCTGACCGCTTTGAAATGCAGCACTAATCTAGCCCCAGGTGTCTCCAAAAAGGGAAAAAAAGTCCAGGTTCAAGCTTCATTTCAAGGAAACCTGCCCTTGCAGGCATCTCTTTCTCTCAATGCATAATGGCTCCAAAGAATCGTGCTCAGCATTTAACTTTCCCTTAATGCCACTTTGATTTCGGCACTCCTTTGCATGAAGCCCAAATAATTATGTTGTGTTGACATATCTTCCTGAGAAAGAAATGCAATTTCGTTTCCCAGGATGCTCCCACACAAAGCAATCCTAACCGCTAATTTAGCTATAAAGACACACAACAATTTAAGTGGGATTATGATATTTGGTTTCAGAGTCCATATTTGACTTTTTATCAATAGGTTTCCAAACAATCTAATAAACTAATCATGTTTAATAGAGGATTTATAATATCAAGGTGGTACAGGATGACTCATCTCCAACGCCTAACTTTGGTATGTCTAGCCTAAAGGCCTGTCATGTTTATGGAGAGGCATTACGATTTAGCTTGTATTAAAGCAGTAGTGCTGTCATATACAGAAAGGTAGAATATTAATTTGGGCCTCGAGCCAAACGCACTGCGAAAAAAATAAATAAATGCAAATACATACAACACTAGCAAATGAACATGTCCAGAATGTCGAAGTGCTACAAGAAGCCCACAATGCATTGGTGTTGCCAGGGGAGGGGACACTTACATGTAATGCACTTGGCTAGAACGCTTTGTTCTCAGTGCTTTAGGTTGTCATCCTTCATTTAGGAAATTAATAAAGTCAAATCTGCATTAGCATTTTTGCTAATATTATATCTGAATCATGGGATCACACAAAAAGTGTTAATAACTTAATAAGACACAAACTGCAGCAGAACAAGCGTATCACAGCCATGTGCGTCACTTGTTAGTGTCCCCTGTTGCGTTGAGAACAATTGCATCGCTATTTCTGAATTATGCTTGTTTTGTTTGTGTTGCTTCCCTGTTTTTCTACCTGATTAAACAGACAGGCGTGCATGTTATTTATTGAAGCCCTAGTGCAACAACATGGAGGTTATGCACTATTTAATCTATACAGCACTATCTTTCCATTAAAATTAATTAGATACAATACTGTAAAGAATCAAAACAATGCCTTGGTTATCAGGTACACAATTTAGACGTGAGCTCTTGTCAATAACAAGAGTGGGATTTAATTACAGAGCGTGTCATTTGACTTTTGGAAGAGCGCCGAGATCCCACTCCTGTGTCACTGCACTCACTATTAAACAAAACCCATAGGTGGTAGCATGTCCACCAGACAAGACTGAAAACTGCTGTCTTTTCATGTTTCAATTTGACATTTGACTCTATATATTTAGCTAACTATTGTAATCTGCATGCGACTACAAATTGCATTCCTGCTGATCACACAACAACTCAACAAATAAAGCCCCCACTCACTGGTGTTTGTGGATGACAGCGTTGAAGAGCTTGCCGTCCCTCCAGCTGGTGGTGAAGTTGTCACAGCGGATGTTCTGGTAGTCGTCCGTCATCCTCTGGGACCAGCACAGCAGCTTCTCCTTGGCCGTCATGTCCTCTGACAGGCCAATGATCTGAATATCTGAGATCTAAAATATATAGATAATACATTGTCAGGAGGGTGGATAACTTGTCAATAATCCATATTGGAGTAATGTGGAGGAAATGAGTTAGTGGAAACCATAAGATGCTGAACAGATTCACCAGACACCCATTGTTAATTATCAACGATGTTAATGTCTTCATTAGTCCTAATTCACATCTGTATAACAAGATCACTTTATATTTGTGGTAGGTATTAAGGGGAAGGGGTTTTTATTATTCTTTTTTTTTGTATGTATTGCCTTTCAAAGTATCCTCCTCTAACATATCTGACCTGCAAATATTTATTTCAATTAGAAATAATCTTTATTTTTTAAATCTTAGTTACCGCTTTCTATGCAACCATGTCTGTAACGCATAATATACATACTTATGTGATTATTATTATTATTATTAATGTATTATGCATTATTATTATTATTATTATTATTATTATTATTATTATTATTATTATTATTATTATTATGTAGTCATTGTTTGCTTTTAGTAAAGTTCTACAAAAGTGCAATTATTATACTCTATCATTTATGTCAGTATGTGATCAGCAGTTATAAAGTATTATTACATTTATCCTAACATGCTTTATAATGGATAGTGTTAATTGTTATAAAGCATCATGAATATGTAGGACTACTTAGCTAAATATATATACGTCACTATATGCTGATTATAATACATTAATAGAACGTTTATAAGGAATAATAGAGAAGCCATTTAGAACGTGCTAAGGGGAGGAAATGGTGTTGTGTCATATTTCGGAGTTTTTGTTTGCTTCAAAAAGCATGTCAGCTATATACAATACATGTCTACGATCTGATAAAGGATTAGAGTTACTCTTTAATATCAAATCTTCTCTCCACTTTTGTTTACCTCAGGTCGTACTAAATCCTATTATCTGTCTAAATGTAATTCTCTGAGGATAATCACATTGTGGGATTTCAAACTACGTTACACGAGGAAAGGGGAATTTTCCACTCCCTTTTGATCTCTATGACTCACCGTAGCCAACACCCGGCTATTCTCCTCTTGATTCTATCAACGGATAAACACTCAGGGAACATTGCTCATAATGTAATACAATGGCACCTTCACCAGAGCACCCCTCACACCCTCACACCCCTCTCACCACCAATGCCTCCTTTATTTCCCATGATAAAGGCAATCAGAATCATCTGATATAAAAAGGTGTGGTCCAGCATAATAAGGCTGATGCCAGGGGAATTCTGCTTGGCATACACAGGAAAAGGTTATAAGGGATATGTTTGGGAGTATAGCATGAAATCAAGTACACTCCTGACACACCCTCCTCTTGGGATTTAGCGGGAAAGTGACTCATACTAACACACCCTGATGGTGTTTTATTACTTTAGACTGTTGCCAATTTCATGAATACTTCCACAATTGGAAAGATATGGTAATTATACTGTTTTTCAATTGGAGAATTCCACTTTTAAGATACATTTCGAAGAGCAGACTCCATTCTGATTGGTTCCCAGTAGAAGGAGAAACAGCAGCTGACAGGCGTTGATCCCAGAGATAGAGAGGGATAATAAAATATAACACAAAACTGACAGAGGAGGAGACCTGGAAGTGGAGAATGATGGTCCATATTAGGCCCAGGGTCAGCTTGGGGTTCCCATCTGCGATGTCGTCGTTTCTGATGTTAACCAGCTTGACCTGAGAAAAAGAAAACAAGGTGAAAACACAATGAGCTGTCTGGTGTCATGCTATTGGAAGCGTTTGGTCGTGTTTAGGGTATTGATTTATGTGTCATACCTGTCTGTGTCTGAGGAAGTCCAGTGCTATCTGTACATTCTGCAGTTTGTGGAATCGCATGCGACCCTTTTCCCTGGGCTGAGAGAAGAGAAGAAAAGATAGTCAGTCACATGAAAGACGTTGAGTTGAACCACTTGGTATACTGATGGTGGAGGAGAACGAAACGTTTTACGGACAGAGAAATACATGGGAAGGAAAACTGAAAATAAGACATTTAACAGGAAGGACAAATGTAGCAAGAACCAGTGAATCTTGGAAAATTCTTCTAAACGAATAATTCAGGTGGGTCAGTGTTGTGATTGAATCAAACATTTGTACATTCTATTTAATTTGAACTGATACTGTGTTTAACACGTATAGGGACACAAGTATAATGTTGGATTTATAAACCTTTTTGAATATTTATTACAGCAGCATAATTATAACTTCCACTGATTCACAGTTTTGTATTATTCAAGTCAGCTGACTGCAAGCTTATCTTAGCTTGTTTTCCTTTGAACTTCAAATATAAATCAGAAAAGTAATGGTAGTTATCAGAGCAAACGCCCTAAACAAACAAACACTGCTATGCAAAACAATGTATTGTTTTTATCCAGCTGCTACATGCTAAAAGCAAGCCTGTGAATGACAGAAAGAAAAAAGGCAACAAAACAGTTGAATCGCCATGAAGGAGGTCCAGATACCATGCACAGCCAGATCACTGAGAAAGCGCAGATGAGTTATAATAAGAAGAATAAACAAAAAGGATGTCTACTATAAGTTATCAACCCACTCACCAACCGAGCGCTCCTGCCCACGTCTTTCTCCCTCGGCTAGCCCCAGCAAGAGCAGTGCAAAGAGAGGAGGCCAGGCGGCAAAGATGGACACACAGAGGAAGGTTATAAGAAGGAAAAAAGGAAAGGAGGAAGAGAAGGAGTAGAGAAGGAACATCAGAAAGAAGTATAGCTCACACACACACAGGCCAAGGTGGGGTTAATGTGTCAAGGCTATGGAAGCGTTCAGAAGATGAGCAGAGGCGGTGGACGCAGCAATGATGACTTCAGTAAAGAAGCCTCTGTACACATCTGAGCCCTAGGGTAATCAAATCAATAAAGTATCCAGTGGCTGACTTTGAAATTAGCCTTGAGTGTCAGTCTTAAGATTTGAGTTGTAAACTGCCGTTCCACCGCATGGTACTTCTCAACCTAACTTTAAAAAAGTTCTGATGTTAAATAGGTTGCATTTATATAACGCCTATCCAGTATGTGTGACCTTCTCTTAGGGAAACTAACATTCATACAAAATCACACACGGTTGGCCAATGGAGCAATTTTGGGTTAACTATCTTGCCCAAGTACACATCGACGTGTTGACTTTGGCAGCTAAGAATTAAACAAAGGGACATTCCGATTGGTCAACAGCAGTTCTACCTCCTGAGCCACAGCCACCCAATAGTAAAATAGTTCCTGGTACTTTTTTTAGTATTACCACAATAAAGGTCCCAATTAAGCTGTGCCGATACTAAAATATGGATTAGTAACACTGCTGCCCCCTGATTGGTCAGAAAGAACAGTCATTAGTGTGACACAGGACATCCTGTCTAGACACCTGAATAGAAAGCAACCTAAATGTCTCTATTTACTTGGAACCGGATTATAAAAGATAGCAGCAGGCAACAATGTGGCAGTGTATTGTAGACTCAGGAGCTGCTTGCTGTAAGTAAGGAAAGTCTTTGTTCTGGTAGGTTCGGTTGGGGTTAAGCCTTTGAGTGACACCTTGGCTGCGATTGGTTACAATTTGTTGCCACATGATATTCCAGGTTGGCTGCACATAAGTACTCTTTATGTAATTAGACTGGATTAGGTGTTGGTTGGAGGATGGTTGAGGTTGAAGAAGCAGCCAAGGTCAGAATGCGGACATCATGGCGGATACTCACCAGCGTGTCCCCGGAGAGGACCTCCAGCAGGGAGATCAGGTTATGTCCATCTCGAAGGTCTTCATACAGGTCTGTCACATGACGCTGCGACTGCAGGGGAAACAAAAACAGTGTCACAAGGATTCAAGATGCAAACAAAAAGAAATACCCAAATGACCTATATAGTTTAAAAAGGAAAGCTTTTCAGGAATACCAGCTGGTACATTTGTTTGAATACTCAATGAAGACGAACACAATATTAGCACTTTATTTAGATTGTCTTCTATCCAATCAACATTCTGGTTCTTTTACAAAGTTGGTTGTTGATGGCCGAATTTACTTTAGTTAATGGCAACAACTGTTGGTGCAGATTTTGTGAAAGCTATGTCAAATATGATGAAAGAAATCCATTTGAAGGATTGCTTCATCCCGATAAAGACAACTATTGTATCTACACCTCACCCCTTCAATCCAATTCTCATTCATCTTATTTTATGCTAACTAATTTCTGAAAAGTCTCACTAAAACCATACTTCCACATGAAGACTTTGGCAAGCTACTCATGCAAGTCTGTACAGGCTTTAAATAGTAAGGTTTTAGTAGAAATTCATTTGTTTGGGAATCAGGGAACATTCAAGTTGATCAATGAGACTTGGATTATAAAGAAAGTTGTCTGTTGATAATCTAAGAGGTGTTGCTAGTTTTAAACACCGCCCCCATTCAATTCAAATGATCAAGTTTGGGGATTTTTTCTTTCTACTGGAACCATGCGAGAAAAAAATGTTTACAGGATGAGTAATTGATATCAAATGATAATTTTGTGGATGAAGTATTTTTTGTTAACATTTTCAGATATAATAGAAGTGCTTTATATTGATTATTTAAGAGCTACCCAGCTGTGTTACAGTATATAAGTTGTAAGCAGTGCTCAGAGTGTTCTCTCCACTAGTACAGTTCTACACAGGTCAGGAATACATAGCCCTGAGCAGCCAAGCCTGACTACTACTGCCAATCCTAAATGTCAGCTGTCATCCCTGAAAAGTGATAGATGGCCATGTGTAAAACCCAGATAAGTGGGGTAAAAAAGTGCACTGGAGACCCAAAAATCATCATAAACACAAACAAGACAAGGACACTTAATGGATCCATGCATTCACTTTTCATAGAACTAAGGTGTGGTGTACTTGCAACCAGAAAACAGATTTGAATAAAAGAGAGAGTTGGGAAAACATGTGAGGTTGGTTTCCATGCAAAGTCCCCATGACCAGACATTTATAACGGTCAGGCTCGATGCCAGTACCTACCTCTGCCCTCTGATGCTTCGTGAAGAGGACAGCAGATGGATGAGCAATGGAGAAAGGGAAAGATTTGAAACAATGGAGGAGAGAAGAGGAGAAGAAATAAATGACAAAGAAATGACGAGCATTTGTTTGGACGAAATGTGAATTTAGCTGATTAAGATGATGGTATTAGACAAGAAGATTTAACACTTTTGATTAGTTCTATGACCAGATTGAGTTTGGCATCTGTAATGCAAGTGTGTTTGGTCATGTGCGTGAAGAAGGCGTCGGCCCTCAAATGGAATGAAAGCACATTTCTCATCAAGTTTCAACAGCGTCTCATTTCTCTTGGCAACAGTTTCAACACAGTTATCCAAACATTACATGGGATCCTCCTTTTTGTGAAGGTAACCAACAGTGCCACCACTAGGGTTCACTGTCTACACATTGAAAACATTCTCAAGATGTGATCATATGTGGTTTGATCACATTGAATACTGAACTGTAATAGAAATATTTATATTCTTGAGTTTAACATTAGTTTCACAATTATATAAAGTAGGACATTTTGGGAGTGTAAGCCATATTGCTTCCAAAACTTCTTTAAAACTATTGTAACAGTGTGTATTTCACTAACTTTGTCTATTCCTCCTCCTCAACTCTGAAAAAGCTAGCATCAGATAACGTATTATTTTAATATTTTGACCTGGAATTTCAGAAAACTTGTTAAAGCAAACAATACTTGTCCTAATAAGGGTAAGTAAAAACGGGACATTTCTTTCAGTTGAAGATGTTGACACTATTCAACTGTAGTGTCGTGCAAAATACATAGATTTAAATGCCTTATTCTTAGAATTAAAATAAAATTATCTCCAGTTTCATTCCTATCTATATTCTGAAGGGTTTGCAATAGTGGTTTGTGAATATTTCATTCATATAACATTTTATTCCAGAAACCTTGGTGAAATCTGATATATTTGTATGGCTGTTTTATTGAGTGATACACAGAGATATGTAAAATGTCCTCTGTAAAAAAACCTCTCATCTGTCAACATCTTTAACCTGGCTTTATCCAGTGAACATATAACTGTTCTGGAAATGTATGCAATGAGCAAAATGGATTAGAACATGGATTGGATTAAGAACATCTGAGAACAGAAATATTTGCCTTTTATGATTATTAGGATTTAATGTTTTTTTATGATTACATTATTTATTCGATTATTTAATTATGTTAGTAATGAACTGGGGAGGTTTCAAAGCGATGTATATAAACTATTTACGTCTTTAACTCTAGTGTTTCTCCCCGTCGTGTGTATACTCAAGTGTCGTCTATCGTCACCCCTCAATTACTTGAGTCCCTGCTCCATGTGACCCGTCCCACTGTTACAGCTGAAAGGAAGGTGTTGTGCTACAAATTACCCTGTCTGAGTTCAAATGAGCTGTCCTGTAAACTATTCAAGGTGATAATCATTAGCACACATAGCTTACAGCCCCCGCCCCCCCCCCCCTAAAAAAACGACTGTGATCCTCTGTCTGCAGACAGAACACTTAACATGCCTCGGTTGCGTCATCTTGTGCAACCCCTCTAAGTAAATGTTAGAAATCTGCTTGAAAACAGAGGTTTGTTCTGCTGCTGGTGTGACGTCCCACAGCATAACAAGATTTACAGGGTAAGGCAAACCACTCAGTGGCCCTTTATGGATGCACCCCACCTATAGTCATGCCCCTGTCAAACCAACCGAAAGCCATTAAATCCGTTTAGAGGAGCGTCGGTTCATGTTCAACCAAGGAGTTAACACTTTCCTAACTAACTCTTTTTTTTTAATCTGTTGCACTTCTTAGTTAAAAGTTACATTTTTGACAAGAATATTGATGTGCTAAACTTTTTGAAAAACAAGCAATGGTCTGCTCATGTACAGTAGTATGGATTTTTGTATATATATATGAAAACAACAATGTTGATGTCAATACTTGGGCAACTTCCCAACAGAGATCAACAGAGCTTGGTGGAATAATAATGACAAACCTTTTTGATAATCAATAAGCGATAACGTTTCTTTTAAGCAAAAAAGGTCAAATCTGTTTCCAGACTCTCAAATATGACAATTCCTTGTTTTGTTTTTCTGCATCATCTTAAACTGAATACATTTTGGTTTTGGACTTATAAATCAAGACATTTGAAGACATCACCTTGAAGTGTTTTGGCCTACATTTTTGCTATTTTATTAATCGTCAAACTACTTAATAGTTTCAGCCTATATTTCCCACGCTTCAATGCGTGCCTGTCATTTAAGACCGGATATTACGCAGGTAGCCAAACAGACCCAGAAGTCTGTGCAGCACATGTGCTACCGTTGGCCTTACCCACCGCTGGCTCCGGGCGCATACCAGAATTTGCCTTTACAGAAGAAGCTAAGTGAGTCCAGATGTCTGTGAATCACCCTCCAAAATTCACAGAGAAAAAAGAGGGGAGTCTACAGTGTGTTCTCAAACTGTGGTAGCTAAAGAAAATAGCACTGCACACTCATGGAAAGGAAAACACTCTTTGTGCTTATTTTTCCCTTTTAAAAAAAAAACAATGAATGGCCCTGTGTCTGTAATACAGAAATAATGTGGAAGCAGGGCTGTTAATGCATTACTGCCAACAGGAGTTTCCTGGAAGAAAAGTGGCACAAGTGAGGATATTTATACTTCTCTGTGGGAGGGGTATTGTGTTCCGGGGGGTCATTTTTCACTCCTAATGAGAAACTTCAGAGTGAAGAATACGGCCTGTTTGACTTTACCCCATCCTGACCTGTTTACTTCTATGATAGGTTGATGCATTGGAGGGCTTTCAGGTCTAGTTATAGACTTGGGAGTGAGGTAGGTGAGAGTGGACGGCCGCTGATGGACGGTTTACACAGGCGGTCAGCTGGTGACAGACTGGACTTCTGGTAAGCCTCCCCATCACAGCGCACTATAGAGGCCGAGTGTGAGACGATAAATGACCAGCTAATGTGTGTTTATGTGAGAGGGGGCAGAGGTGTTGGAAATAACTTTCACTTTTGTTTACAATTTGCAAAGTGGGAGATGGATTGCATTTTAGATCACTATGGCCTGTCACTTCATTTACACCATGACATAACATTGTATTCTGGTAATTTAGTGAGACAACTACGGTAGCCCTGGGAGGCTAGTGTTTTTCTTCTTTTTATTTTCTGGTGATCTAAGTCTACAATTGTTTCTACGTCTGATGAAAATAGTTTTCTCTCCTGTGTTTATGACTTAAGAACAGGTGTTCTTCTGAAACACATTTTTCCATGAGGTTCATTTTACATTCTTTTTTTCCGGTTATATTTGTGAAGCAGGCGGGGAAAAAAGTTGTGCAAGGTGAGATAAAGTGTTTGTATGCTTAATGTTCCATGGTATTTTCTCATAATTAAAAAAATGTGGATTAAAGAAAATAAGCTTTGGCAAGTTAATAAAAAATAAAAATGTGTAACTGTTTGTTGTTGTAATACTCATGTTGTCCAAAGGAGGCTGAAGTGCACCACTACACAATGTTCGAAATAAGATTCCAATGATGTTTTTTATTTTGACTTTATACAAAATATGTATATAATGTGCTTTACAAGTAAAGTAACATTATTGTTATGTCTTCTTTTGGCTAGATTTTGTTTTAGTAGTTTAGTAGAACAGGGGATAATGGTACACTGCCTCTTGTGGCCGAAAAAGGGTTACAACAACATTGCCAAAAACAACCATCTGACTGTAATGTTTCACCTGTTATCTTGGCTTAAAAAATACAATTATTTTTAAAGATTCTTCTAGCAAAACCTTTTTTCACCTGTTTCCCCCAATGTTAAACACAAGAGAGAAAACATTTTCTGCAGACTTCAAACATGTAGCTTATCATCATTACTTCCAACCAGATCTAAAACTGAAGTGATACAAAATATGAATAATACATCTATGTTGTTCTGTTAGAGGTTCTCAGTTCCTTTTACCGAAGCAAGGTGTGACAAGGGCCGATGAAGAGCCCAATGAGGTACATTTATGGGAGTATCTGAATCACAGAGAGTATAAACAAATAATTGTTTTCCCTTTCGGTAATATTGAGAGATAGGCCCTTTGTGGCAGAGGTCTAGGTCTCCAATGTCCCTTCCCGTTTTGTGCATAGTGTGCCTTGTCTGCGTTGAAATACAAATGTAGCATGACATTGTAGGCCTTTAAAGTACCATAAGAAACAGCAACAATCAGGAACAGGCCTTACCTTTATCAAGTGCTTGTTGACCCATTTGGTGAAGGTCTTTTTCTGTACTCGATCTCGTTCATCTGCAAAATAGACAAATCATCGTTAATCATCAGACATTTAAGAAAACATTTAAAAACAGGTGCTAAGGTTTTGTTGCAACTCAAAAAGACCAGAAAATGATGGATGTACAGCTCATGCATGTGACATAGCATCAGCAAAGGAAATCCCTAAAATGCCAGACTTGTTTGATTTCTGTAGGACAAAAGGATTCGTCACTATGTGTCCTGACTGTGCATGCCTGATACTGATTCAGACCAGATCAGAGAACATTCATCGTGGGAAGATGAGACGCTATTGTCAAGAAAACTTTGTAATAGCATTGTCTCGCTTTATGACACTGCTGCCGACTGTGCTCTTGGGCAGAACACTTAATTAAAGGATTCCATCTTATGGGCCAACATTTTATTGAGGTCCGAAGATCTCTGCAAAATGATCCCAAGACTTGTCTTAACTATTAGAGAGTGCAATTTTCCAACAAGAAATAACAAGACCTTGGCAAGGAGCACACCTACTAAGAAAACAAACCTGCACACACCCATGTTCCCATTGGAGATTAGTCAAAAACCACAAGGTGTGGCAACACTTATTATGAACAGACTGTATGGCTTAGTCTGTTTTCAGCCATGCGAACAAAATCTGCAATTATTTAATAGACAAACAATAATCAACTTGGACTCTATAAAAACCTTTGACAAACGTTTTAACTACTTTCTGACATCCTGCAAATCAAACGATAAATACATTATTCTGAAACAGATTATCTGTTGCTTCCCTAATGTGTTTTTACTGACATATCCACCTTAACTGACTCACATAGCAAATTATTTCATTCACATCCGGCCGTAATAAAGTATGAATGCCAACACAAAGTCCTCTGTCTTATCAGTTTGAAAGGAGCCAGATAACTCATAGTGACACACCCAGCTATGAAAAGCAAAGTGCTGTGATTCAACCAAATTGGCGCCCAGAGGCTACGTTTGCTTTCTCAGGAGGGTGTCACTTCTGCAAATCTGTTATGGGACAACGTTTCCATGGAAACCATACATAGACACAGCAGACCTTTAACCTCCTCATTTATCATTCAAACAGGGGGGGGGGTGCTTTACTATGTGGTCCTACTTCCTGCCAAAGGAAGAGTGGAAGCGTTATAATTGGCGACACACACTCAGAGCAGGCCGAAGACAAAGTGGTTTCCCAGAGGAGTTTCACCTTGACCTGTTGCGTCCCTGCAGTCTGTTCACACCACGTTGCCCAGTCCTGTTCTGTTCGTGGACTCGTTGCTTTTTGTAGGTGAAGGCTATGTGAGGTTATAGAGGCTGAACTTCATGTATCAAGTGTCACCACACAAACAGGTTTCACTGATGTGTGGAGCTTATATTCCAAAACAGCAAAAAGGTCATCACCAGTAGTGGAAAGTACTGTAACTAGGTACACTTATTTAGATACTGCACTCAAGTTTAGCAGTTTAAGGTACTTGGGTATTTCCATTTTATGCTGCTCTATATTTTGATAGAATTATTAGTACTTTTGACTGACTTGATTTCAGTTATGAGTTACTTTGCGGATTAAGATTTTACAATCAAAATATATGATTAACCTATAATACAATATGATCAAATATTAGCATTAACATAAAACTATTCTGATATTGTTACTTTTTAAAAAAAACCCGATTCCGGACACTATTTAACATTTGACAAAAGTTATTAGGCTGGTAAGAGGAAACACACAAAAACCATGTCTGATTTAAAGTGTGTTAAAGACTGTATACAGTACCAATGCATGGTAAAACAAGACATTAATAGGGGGGAAAAAGAGGAACGGATTAATGCAAGAAAAAAAAGGAAGATATCATTCATTCTTACACACCAGTTATCCTGGATACATCACAACTACAGGCAAATAGACTGTAGCTTTGCTGACTCAATCAACCCAAAACACATGTACTGTATGCTACACAACAATAAGTGTGAATGGGCTTTGCTGACCAATACGAAAAGAGGAAGCTGCTGATGCATTAGAAAAGGGGAGTATCTTTTAAGTCACAGAGTTGAGAACCACTAGACCAGGGGTCTCAAACTCAAGGCCCGGGGGCCAAATCCGGCCCGCGACTTCATTTGATGTGGCCCCGCAAGAGCTTGCAAAGAATATAATACGTTTATTATACGGTTACATGCCACTTTACAGAAGCAGGTTGCCCATAAACTACATGTCCCACAATGCATCTCGTTTTGTGACATGCACACTGAAGAGACTTGCAATTATTTGCCCTGGACTTCTGTTTTCAGACGTAGTTAATTACTAAGTTATTACCCTATCCAATAATAATCCAATTCAGAGGCAATAATGTAATATAATACATTATTTGATATATATATTATATAGTTACAACCGGCCCTTTGAGTGCAACCTTTATGCGAATGTGGCCCGCGATGAAATTTAGTTTGACACCCCTGCACTAGACTACAGTCCAATCAGAAAATAAACTTATGTCTGTCATGTTCATTTTTAGATTACTAGAATATCTAAAACCATCCAAACACACTTGTGACATCACCAAACCAACCATTGCATTTCAAATCAGACAGAGAGACTTACTGATGTATATAACACTGCATTATACAAATCACTAACCAGTCAGCACTCATTATATTGAAGTCTTCAAGCTCTTTAAGCTTGTCCAACGCTTTAATGACATTAAACTCTCTTCATTCCTCTTCGTGGAAAAACCCTTAATTCGTGCCCAGCGGCATCCCGCACATGCAAGATCAAATGGATCAAGATCAAGACTTGGAGTCAAGCTATTTTCCGTACACTTTTACCTTTCCTGCCGTCCGTTGCCTTCAGCATCCCCTGGTAATACCCCTCCTCTGAGGACGTCCTCTCTCTGTCCATGCCATCAGAGGAGACATTCCTGTACCTCTGCTGCTGAGAGTTCATTGTCACCGTTTGTCAGAATAAAAATCTTTAAAAATAAAAAATATCCTTGGTGAAGTTTCCCCCCCTTGATATTAACTTCTGCTTCTCTGGTGTCTATCTGTCCCTCTGGCACGTTGGCCCGTCAGAGCAATCCTGTGGCCACAATCCACTCCCACAAACCTATGATTTCCCTCGCCTTCAAACTCCTCACTCCCTCTTTCCTCCTTATGTTTTTTTTTCCCTCTCTCCCTCTCCTCTCTTCTCCCGCTCACTCTATTCCTTTCCTAGGATATGGTGCCTGTGGGCTATGAAGTCTGGGCCTGTCCATGTGTGTGTTGAGCGAGTGTGTATTTAGTGGTGCTAGTGTTCTGAGGACAGGGTGGGCGGGGCGCCAAACACACCCCTTCCTCATGCAGCTTCAGAGGCGAGGTGTGGTAACCTGCATGTGCTATCACATAAAGAAAAAAACTCACACAAGCTGAGTCAGTAGGGATTGTAAAAAAATCTTTGAAAGGTGTGTGCAGATATTTTCTCTACTTTTTACACTGAATTGAACTTCAATGAGCAACTTACAATGTATGCCTAAAGGTAGTTATCCAACAAGAGCCCAAAAAACAACAAGGTTAAAAGTTTCACTCATTTATAGTCAAAAGCTACGTCCTCAGGGTCATTACTTATTCACTGCATTCCTCTGACATTTAACATTAGTTACTCACTGTGACGAAAACAGGAAGAGAGAAGATGTGGAGGAGATACACTGGGAAGGGCTGCTAGTGATGCATGACCACACCCTGAACACCAAGGAGTCTGAGATATACAGCAGTTTATAACTCTGTTTGAGCATGATCTTTCTACAAAATCAACACACCCATTGAAGCACCATGACTGTGATTCATTGCCTTTGTCACTTTTTCATTTAATAATTATTTCTAGTTTATAACATCTGTTGGCCTTAGATGACCTTTGTTGACCAACTTTAATGACCGTTTTGGATACAATGTTTTTGTCCAGCCAATTCTCAGCGGAACTTCACTTCCGGGTCTCTAATCCTAACAAATTGGAAAACATCAAGTGCTTCACTTCCTGTTATCCATTCGATTTTGCCAAGGAAGTGCAAGCAGATGGTGTGTAGAACGGCAAATACAGTACAACAGGCATTACTTATATACACAGATGTTTTTCTCAATGAAAAAGCATATTTCTAAGATCACATCCTTGAAACCACATCATTTCCCACAAGTGATATATTTGCATTAAGAAGAAATAGCAGTTTTGACTACTTAATAAGTTGTTAAAGGTCCCATGATGTTCAGCGGAACATCAGTGAACCAGGCTGAGAACGGATTTCTCAGCCTGGACTCAGCCTGAGACAGCGGGACACGGCGAGGCCCGGCCCGTGCTCGGCCGGAGCACACACACACACCCGCCGCCTGGCTGTGGGTCTGTGTGTGTGCTCGGACCGGGACCGGGGCCGGGCCTCGCCGTGTCCCGCTGTCTCAGGCTGAGTCCAGGCTGAGAAATCCGCAGAGCTGCAGCTGAGAAAAATAAGGCTGGCTGAGTGTGTGTGTGTGAAGAGCTCCGCGGATTGGTCCATTTGGATCGTCGTTACGTCACTTGGTTCCCGGAAGAAAAAAAAGGGGCAAAGAAAATCTCCAACGAGGCGTTCTGGGGCAGTCTTTTCTGTGTTAGAGTTTTACTCGCTACAGGGTGTACTTTGAGGGTTTGTGACTTTGCAGACCGTTTACATGCAGAAAAAGCTGCATAACACACAAGGGGCATGACATGGGACCTTTAAATTCAAATGACGAGAAGGTATTTTGGCAGTTTGATCAGCCAAATTTCTGTTAAAGCAACCCCAAGTATCTTTTGTTAGACTGCGAACCTGCAGCAACAAGTTAAAAAATGTAGCGCAAGACAAGCACAGGTAAAACAGTATGTAAAATGACTCATTGATTTTTAGATTAAAACAGCAATGTATGGATAAAGTGAGCTTAAATTAGCTAAAATGAGCCACCAAAAGCTTGGCTGTAGCAGCATGGTTCATTTTCATTGCTAATGAGGCACTTGTCTTTTGTAAAAGAACATTGTGTTATTTTAAAAG